AAGCACTTAGTACTTAGTGCTCACTTTAGCAACAAAGTGAATTGGAAAAAGTGTTTTCGCTATTTTTTTATTATTTTCTTAAAATTGTCATTGTGTATTATTAAAAAAAGCTTCCATTGAACATCAACTGAGACTATTAATTTGATTTTCCTTGCTTTCTTAAGAGCAACTGCTAGAAACTGCTAGTTATTGTGCAAGTATTTTTTAAATGTCTAATAAGCTTTTGTGTCTAGAAATCCAGTAAATCCTCAATTTAATGGAGCATTTGAGATCTATTAAACCTGAATTTCTAATTAGAATAATAAAATACCTATAATTATATAAAAGATGTAAACAGATGCAAATTATGTAAACATTTTCAGTTGTCTGGGTTACTCTGATAAAGTGAACATTGCCATTATTTTGGGGAGCGACCCAAAGAAAATTGTTGTCTGATGCATCCAAACTCCACTGAGTAAAAGTTTAATTGTATTGAAATATTAGACTATACTGAAATTGAGCGAGTTTTTTTGTTCCTTTCAACATTTCAATTTATTTTGGCGTCATTATCTGTGATGCTGTGCATTTGAAATTCTTGGGACATTCGTTACAGTTTTTACTATTACTGCTTGTAAATATTTAGCAGTATGTGGATTACCTGCTTTCTCAGTTATTTGAATAAGGAAGACACTATTTTATTGATGCTGGATTTCCTTACACATTTTATCTATATATAGACTTCTCTCACTTGCCCATCACCTCAAATCCCTATTGATTTGGCTTCTTTGTCTTTGTGCTTTCTTGGACTTCCAGCTTCGAAATGGGACAACTCACTGTGACCAACTTGCTGCAGAACAACTTGCTGTGGCCAACTTGCCATAGGACAACTTGCCACGTGACAATTCAACAATTTAACAAAAGTTAAATTAATTCCAACAGAACTGTGGCCAATAGTAATAAAGAAAGTCAATCCAAAAATAAAAGAGTTACAATAATTTTTATGAAAACTTGGTCACCAATAATAAAAGTAACTGAATAAAATGATTAATACAATGTTGAATTGCCCCACAGCAAGTTGTCCCGGGACAAATTGGCTGTGGTGAGTTGGCCACAGCGAGTTGTCCTAGACCTGTTCTGACCTAGGCTTCCTGATATAGTCAAAAGCACACAATTAGTCCCAAAAACCCTTTTTTTATTTTAATGGCTGTGAATTCCTTTCATTCACAGCACATGCTGAATCACCAAGAGTTTATTAATAGTCCAACAGAAGTCTGCCACAGTCCTTAGGATAAAGCTGGTAAACACCCACCTTTATCTTCTTTGACACGCCGCCAAAACACCTAATTGGCAATTATCTTGGCAAGGCCACACAGAAACACAGAGTCAAAAACAGAGCTTCAAAGTACATACACCGACACCATTCACAACGTTGCTTCCTGCAAAGGGCCATGTGCCTTTGCTCTTCCTTTATGTTTTATGGGAGGGGCCAATCATCTCCAAGCTTTACTCCCAAGTCGTCGCTTTTGTTTTAACTGTTCTTGCCTTCTGGTAGCTCTGCGCTCCCCCTGTTCCTCTGCCTCTCTGATGTCCAACTCTGGAGGCTCTGGAGTCCGCACATAACTCCCAGATGGCCTTGGCCCCATCTTTGCCTCCGACGCAGTGCCTTCAGCTGAGCCTTCCTCAGACTCTAGGACTGGCCCATGTTCCTCCCCAGCCTCCTCACTGTCTGATTCTGCTGCCAGTTCCGCAGGCTGCTGGCGGACCACAACAATACCCTCCAGCTTCTTACTTTTTCCTTTTTTCAGAAGCTGAAGGAACTTTGTTGTTTTCCCTCCCTCAGTATAGCTGAGTAACTGAGTAAATCCCTCAGTTTCTCTTCCTCTAATCCCAAAAGGGGGAAGGGTTGGAGTAACTTCTCCAGATCCCAACAAACAGGTGTGAATGTTTTTTGTGTTTCAGATCTATGCAGGTGAAGTTACTTCTGGTGGAGGACATTTTAAAGTTACTATCATTGGCCTATATCTTTTTGCTACTTCTGTGTGTAAGAAAATAAATATTGCCATGTTTAGATTAGTTACTATTAGGTGGAACAAAAGAATAGGCGGCCAGTTTTTAATATGAACTTGACTGTCTGCCAAGATGAAGTACAGAATAAAAGCTATTTTTATTTTATACATGGGGTTGGTATGAGCTCAAGTATGGTATATTACTGAAATTTAAAACTGTCTGCAGTTTTAAAAAACAACAGCTTATAACCCAGAGACAGTACTGTAAGAAAAACAATGTTCCAGTAAATTCAGAATAAGGACAATTATGAATAATTTAATTTGAAAATCCACTTGAGGCTCTGGAAGCAAAGTCATGATTAATTAAGGTTGTTCAAAACATTTCAGACTGAACCTTCTTAAACTTGAAACATTGCATCTCAAATACACAATACTCTACCTCATATGCAAATTGGACATTCTGAACCTTTTGGAGGTGTTGAGCTGAAGTATTTTCCTACTTGAAACAATGTTGTTCATGTGTTTAAGGTGGCATATTTTGCATTCAGAATAGGCTACTTCACAGCTGAACTAGGGTATTTCGAATTTGAAATTCTTGTATTCGGTGTTTTGCAAACTCACATTAGTAAAATTCTTTTTGTTTCCTATCTTGTATTTTTATGCTGTACCAAGGTCTTTTGAATTAAATAGCCTTTTGCAGATAGCCAACCTTACTCTCTGATAGAGCCAAATTAGGCAAGAACACTCATTTTGTTAAGTTCTCCCACCTTCAGGAAAGAGAGTTATTCATTGAGATATTGAAGCTGTGGATGGTTTATTGTTGAATGTAGTGAAAAAGTTACCCAATGAAAATATATTTAGGTTTAAGAATGATCTTACTGTATTGGAAGCTTGCCTCTTCCTAATTGAAAGCCCATTTGGCTTCAAAAATCCAGGATTATTATAATTTAACAATGAAATAGAAAATAATGCAATTAGTATTTAAGTAGAACTGCAAGGAATTAAATTTAAGTCAGACAAATACTTTGCTGGTTTTATCTCTTTCTCTATAAAAATGTATGCTAAAAGAACTTTTAAAGAAACAAAATAGATAATTAAAGACATGTAAACTACAGGTAGTCCTCAATTTAAGGCCACAACTGAGCCCAACATTTCTGTTAAGTGAGACATTTGTTAAGTGAGTTTTGCCCCATCTTACAGCCTTTCTTGCCACCGTTGTTAAGTGAATCAGTGCAATTGATAAATTAGTAACCCGGTTGTTAAGTGAATCTGGCTTCCCCATTGACTTTGCTTGCCAGAAGGTCGCAAAAGGGGATCCTGTGACCTTGGGGGCCACAGCAACAGTCATGAATATGAACTAGTAGCCAAGTGTCTGAATTTGGATCACGTGACCACGGGGTTGCTGCAAAGGTCGTAACTCTGAAAAATGGTCATAAGTCACTTTGCAGTGCCTTACGTAATTTTGAATGGTCACTAAATGAACTGTTGTAAGTTGAGGACTACCTGTATATTGTTCATATACAATGAACGGGAACTGCACCTGAAAGCTTTGATGAAATGATGGATATGGATCAGGGGTGAAATCCAGCAGGTTCTGACAGGTTCTGGAGAACCAGTAGCGGAAATTTTGAGCAGTTCGGAGAACCGGTAATAGAAAGTTTGAGTAGTTCGGAGAACCGGCAAATACCACCTCTGGCTGGCCCCCGAGTGGGGTAGGAATGGAGATTTTGCAATAGCCTTCCTCTAGGAATGGGGAGAGAATGGAGATTTTGCAGTATACTTCCCCTGCCACGCCCACTAAGCCACGCCCACCAAGCCACACCATGCCCACTAAGTCATGCCCACAGAACCGGTAGTAAAAAAATTTGGATTTCACCACTGATATGGATGGCTGCAGTATGTGGCATTTCTTCATGAGTGCTGTTTCAGTTAATGGCAATAGTGCAAATTGTGATTGGTTGCAGCAGTGAAAATGCAATGGGGATGGCAGCTGTCGGTGGTGCTGTGGAGATCTTACTTCTAATAGTAATTCAATTATGGGGTGGGGTGGGGGGTAGGATGACAGATTGCAGTGAGAACATAAAACAGTCCAAATTAAAGCTATTGCCTCAGTACTGAAAGCCTTTCTCTAAAGAAACTTTAGATGGCAGTATTTTCATTGTGACTACAAATTCTATTGTTCCTTTAACGTTTCCAGCAATTGTTGCATTTGGTAAAGTACATTGTCATTAATAATTTAAATACCCTAATGAAAGTACTTAGACTTTCTTTTCTTTTTTTTTCTTTTTACACTTGATGAAATCTGTTTGATGAATTGACCCAGGTGAAAAGACATGCTTGTGAAATACTGAATATGCTTTGACTTAATATAGCTATCAGTTGGCAAATTGCTGCAGGTCTCTTTTAAAATGAAAATATTGAGAGAGCTGCCAAACGGATTTTTTTTTCTCTTTTATTTCTCTCATCACTGACCTGTGTGCGTCATCGACTTGGCCAAAAATACAGTACTCGGTAATATAAAGCTATAGACCGGGGTATTAAGAGGGCTAATGCTGCAAGCTGCCTTTGTAATCATTGCCTCCCAGTTTCAAAGATTATTCTTGTAAACAAGGGTTATCTTCCAATTGAGGTGAAAAATAGGGATTTGGCCTCCAGAGGCCAGTGCTGATGCTTGTATGGCTTTTGATCATGTCAGAGCCACCCTCTCTTTACATATGCTGGAGGCTGCTTCAGGGGCATCACAGCTAGGAATCTGCTTTTGTTCTACAGAAGAGTTTACATTCCAAAAAGTGAGCCTAAATACAGCTTGCTGTTGCTGCTTTCCCCCCTGACAACAGACTGCACAAGTGGAAGTAAGAGAGAGATTGCTGTAATCACTATAATATATGTCGAGGACAGTAGTTGCATGATGAGCTTCTGCTTTTAGTGTATTCTGATTATGTCTTCTGGAAATCGGTAATCCCTTTGGAAAAATATTACAAAAGGTAATAGTAAATACCTCATTTCCCATTTCAGGTCCGGTTAGGAAGCCCAAGTATGTGGAAAGTCCTCGCATACCTGCAGATACAGTTGTCGTTCCAATGAGAAAAGTGTTGGAGCCAACAGAACCTAACCAGAATGGTAAGCGTGTGTATTTGGAATTGTTTCATTTTTAACTGAATGGCTTGAACGTTGCCTTGAAAGGGAAATGGGGACGAACGTTTTACGGATCTTGCATGGGCGAATGTATCCTTGTGTTTGGTTGCTTGACATTCGGGAATGATGATGTGTACCTAATCTTCAAGCGAAATTCAGTCTGATGGTTGTGGGGGGTCTCTTTTAATGTGAGAGGCCTGCTTGGAGTTAGTTTCTGAACTTTCTTTCAGGGTGTGTGTGTGTGTGTGTGTGTTTTTAATCAGAGTGTTCCACTTATGCCATGTTAAAGTGATGTGCATCACAAATGAAAAGCTTGCTAAATCAGACAGCAATAACAATAGATGACTGTGTCAGCAAGACTAGTAACAGCCTGACCCTGGAGTTAATTGGTATTCTTGAAAAGTTCCATGTTCATTAAATTTGACCATGGCATAACAGAGTGCAGTTTCAGTGAATGTCAGTGAGAACTTACAGTCAAATGCTCTATAAGTATTTCTAATATAAAAAGAATTTCATCTTCAGCATTATATTTTAGATTTACAGCCTGGTCAACATCAGCAAAATCAGTATATAACATCTAGTTAAGTAAATTACCTCCTTGTTTTTCTTGAGCTTGAACTCTCAAAATCTCTTTGCTATTTGAGGCATAGATTTTTCTAGCAGAATTGAAAGCTTTGTCTGCCTGTTTCCCCCACATCTCACACCTTCCCCCTCCCCTTCTTTAATGAGAAATCTACTATAGCCCTGATTCTCCTTTGAGTATAACAAAGCTAATTTCTACAACATAGTGTTTGTGCCTCCAGTTTTTCCCATAGGTTGAGGAAATTAATGGAGAGCTAAAACAATTTACTATTATATAATAATACTATTTATCCAATTGTAGTTTTATGTATATTAATGCTGTCATAGATGTCAAGCCTAAAATGTTTGGCAGTTATAATGTATTGATTTTGAGGATCTTTCCTTCAAAACGCTATTCTCATTCTTTTATTCTATGAGATGTGCATGCAGTGACTGGGAAGGATTGGCAGTTTTGTTGATGAAAAGGTGATGTCTTTTTGTAAAAGAAAGATTGTAGTTAATAGTGCATAAGAATTCTTCTATCATCTCCAATGCCCTATTTATTACTAATTCTGTTTATTCAGCAGAGAAGACCTAGCTAGGGCTGGTAATCCAGAAAAATGACTAAAGAACATCCTATAAACCTGAAGAAACGCATTAATTTTGCTAGTTAGTTGATTTAAATCTCCACTCCATCAGTCCCACATGACAGGATTTATTAATGAGATTTATATGCCACCCTATCTCCAGCCGGACTCAGGATGCCACACAATCACTAGTCTGTATGTATTATTTATACTTAATATATTAAAAATAACAAATTTGGACAAAAAAATAAAATAAGGTCTAATATTTGATAAAATAGGTAGAAGAAATCATAGACATCACAGATGCACAGGTTAGTTTTGACTATTATTCTGCATTGTTTATAATCATATAAAGATTGCTATAGGAATTGCAGTTTTTTGAGAAAGGATCTTCATGAATGGACTCAAATAGCTAAGATAGCAAAGCCATTGCTAAGTAAGATTTTTGGCATAGCAGGCATTATATGAATGCCATGGCATAGCTCACAGACATGATAAGATTATATATTTTAACTTTCACTACATTATAAAAATATTCTCAGATCAGATTCATACAAGTCTTTGTCAGGTGTTTTTTCTAATGCCTATCTACTCGATTTGTTTATTTTCGCTAGGAAAGGCTGATTCTGATTTGGGAGAAAATTTGTCTGCTTGTCCCATGCTTGTGAAATCTGCTAGGTAAAGGATTGAGGAGCTGGTTGGAGTAAAGGAGCTTTGGCTCATAATTGTGGGCAAGTGATAATTAAATTGCAATATTTTGATTTAAGCATCTTGAATCTTTGGCAAGTTTAATAGGTAGGATAAATGACCTAATATAGGATTGAATGGCATTCAGAGAGATTTGATTTGTCTCTAATCAGTAATTAAATTGGGTTTTCTGTTGTTAGGAAAGCCGTGGCAGCATCATAAATTGTAAAAAGAAGGCTTTCTAAATGTATATATTTCATCCACCAAATATCTTCAGTTCTAGATTAGCCCTTTTACTTCATCCTGTACTTTCATAAAATATTCATCCATGAAAAGGCTTTTGAACTAAGGTTACCTTACTTGAAGTAAGAAACCTTACTTGAAGTAAGGTTTAAAAAAAAGGTTGAAAGAAAAATGAATACATTAGTGAAGAAAACAAAGTGTTTCATTTGTTTACATAATACATTAAGTTTGTCTTGTCTTGCTTAGAATAGAATAGAATAGAATTTGTCTTTGTGCATATGCTCTCAGTGTACATAAAAGAAAAGATAAGTTTATCAAGAATCATAAGGTACAACACTTAATGTTGTAAATGTTGTGCAAAAACACTTATGATATGATATGATATGATATGATATGATATGATAAACTAGCTACCATATTTATTGAAAAGTCCTGATTAAACAAACTCTACCAATAAAGGAGAATAAACAAAACTGTGTTTTAGTGGACTGAGTAAACCTAGTCAACGTGATGTTGACTTCCAAGAATATGGGTTTGGGCAGGTTATTTGAATCTCTGACTCACAAATTTGCTTTTTTGTAATGTCAACGATAGTGATAACAGCACAAATGTATTCATAGGAATTGTGCGTTGTGTGGATTAAGCATTGTCTTTTTCTTGTAATCAGGTTGCTGCTGTAAGTAAGTTTTTTTGGCCTCCATCTCATATATCATGATTCCAACAACAAACAGCTGCTAAGTCTGTGTACAAATCTTATACAATTGTTATATGATGACAAGAACATTCCCCTTCTTGCCTTGAGCATCTGGTATTCAGAATTAACTGTGTTTGGACATGAAGATTCCCTTAGCTTCTATAGCTGATGAAAAGGTCTCTGGAGATGTGGCTGGCATGGGGCAGATTATAAGAATTTACCCTGGATGGAACCACGTGAAACTGTGATGTATATGACAGAGAATGATGAGAAATAGACAAGTCTCGCTTTCTGGAGTAACTAGTTGCATGAAGATCTGCAGAGCGTGTTAGAAATCATAGGGTTTTTTCCTTAAAGTAAATGGATTGCCAAGTAAAACTGAAGCATGCAAATCCTTGCACTAGAATGTTGCCCTGTAAATGGACATCATTTAAAATCTTACAGTATTAAGATTGTTTTATTTTTTAGCACATCACTTATTATTTGTTAAATTCACTTGTTGCCTATCTCACTATGGGGCTACTCTAGGCTAATCAATGCTGATATGACAGGTTCTGGTTGGAATTTCTATCTATACCTTCATATAAAATAATAGTACAATAGAAGAAAATGGATTATAGTATCAGCCATGGGTGAGGATTTAAATACCTCCTTTCCAGCTTTTGAATCTATTTCAGAGTTGGAATGGATCTTAGAGGCTTTCTAGTCCAACCCCCTGTTTAAGCGGGACATCCTATACCATTTAAGTCAATTGGTTGTCCAATCTCTTCTTAAAAACCTCCAGTTTTAGAGGACCCACGATTTCTGGAGGCAAGTCATTCCACTGATTAATTTTCTGATTATTTGTTTTGTGTATGGGAGGATTAGTATGCTGGAATGTTATCTGATTGCAAGAATTAGAAAGGCAATGCGCTTCTAAAACAACTGTGCTTGTTCACTCATGGGATTCTTGGTGCAATTTAAAACATAAAACAAATTTATTTATTTGTTAAATGTATTTATTTAACAAAAACTTAGCAATGCAAACAACAGTATAACATCCAAGAAGCCTGAAGGTATTTTGGTTGATAGCATAGCTATTAACTGAATTGTTTCCTATGATCAGTCCTGAGGTACGTATTACACTGGTAGACAATTTCATAGGTTTGTTTTGTTAGCATAGAAGAGCCTGGAAAAATAATCACATGAGCTTTTTTGGTCACCACTCAGTCTGAATCATTTTAGAAGTTGCTATCAGTTTCCATAAGAATATAGATAAAGGTGTGCAGACATGTACATATATACACACCGGCAGACACATACATAAAAGAGGCTCATGTATGACCACATACTCTTCAAAAAAATACTCTGCATTTTTGTATTTTCATTCATTGAAAAAATAGCATCTTCAGATTCTACTTATGTGTGAGAGAGAAAGACATTCTTTATATTCTAAAAACCCATGTTGGTTGGATGCAAAACCAAAATAATTTAATTCTAGTTTGCAGAGCTAGTATTTATGCCTACTTTAATTCAGATTCAGAAGTTAAACATGTGCGAGGATCTCCCTTTATATAGGGAGTTCCATTTAATAAATGGACATTGAAAGTGCTTTTTTTAATAGAGTTTTGTTAGAATATGGCAAAATAAAATTTGTTGATAATAATTTGTTTAAATTTCATTATTTGCCTGTATGTTGGAAACTACAGTCATTTGAAGTGAATATAAACGTTAATTAATCTTTCTCCTTCCCTTGAAATTACCTTTTTTGAACAGAAGCAAAGTCAGAGAAGGAATCAAGCTGTTCACCAGCAGCTCAGGAACTGATGACAAGGCTTGGGTTTTTACTGGGAGAAGGGCTTCCAGCTTCTGCCCATATCTCCCCAGAAGAAAAACATGAAACTATGGTATGCGAATGGAAAATAGTCTCAATCTAAGATGCTACATATTTCTTGCTTTCAAAATATTTCACCAGAACATGTAAATGTGTCATGCAAATAACTACAGGTAGTCCTCAACTTAACACAGTTCATTGATTGACTGTTCAAAGTTACAACGGCACTGAAAAAAGTGACCTATGACTGTTTTTCACACCTGCAACTGTTGCAACATCCACGTGGTCACGTGATCAAAAAATCAACTGACTCATATTTATGATGGTTGCAGTGTCCCAGGGTCATGTGATCCCCTTTTGCGACCTCCTGACAAGCAAAGTCAATGGGAAAGCCAGATTTATTTAACAATTGTGTCACTAACTTAATAACTGCAGTGATTTGCTTAACAACTGTGGCTAAAAAGTTGTAAAACAGGACAAAAGTCACTTTAAGTGTCTAACTTATCAACAGAAATGTTGGATTCAATTGTAGTCTATCTGTAATAAATAAGTGATATATTTATTGGTAATTTTCTTTGCTTTTTTTTTTTTTTTTTTACAGAAACACTACTTTTAAGTATTTAAGATACGCCACATAGAATGATTCGAATACTATTGAATAAATTGTTTTTTTTAATTCAGATGATTCAAACTACTTGACCTAGAAAATATTAAAAAAAGAATATTTAGTTCTTACTCTTTTCTTGTCTAAGGCCACAATGATGCAGGTTATGGTACTTGACTCGCTGGATCTGTGGAGAAAAACTAAATGAAATTCTCTCCTAGCAGAAAAATTAACTATACAATTTTTGTATGACATTTGGAAATCAGTTCTGAATCATGATGCAACTGGAGATGATTATTTTTTTCTTATAGTGCAACATGCATAGTTATTTTGCACATGAACTCTGTATATATTGAATTAAAAAGTTTTTCAATTAGACAAATTTATCGTTTAGGACGATATAGGAAAATCTTTCTACAAAATGTTTAAAGAATGGAATCTCTGTCTAAAAGAATATGTGGTTTATTAATCTGCTTCATTCTAAACCTATAATCAGTTATGACCAAATAGTTTTAAATAAGATTTTCTATATGGCTCTGGGTTTTTGTTGTTGTTGTTGTTTTAAAAGCTAATGAAATATAATCTGCATTTTACCTTCATCCTGAAGGCCCAATAGTTGGATTTGGTATTGCTGGCTTTTTGTAAGATGATTTTTCACCAGTATTTCAAAAAATCCTGTACAGTTCTGACCTAGAGTATCAAAGGTCCATAAGTTGATTTAACTTCTTATTGTGGTCATGGCTGTACTAACTGCCTGAAAAGTATTCAACAGATCATTCTGAGAAATTTCCAGGGGAACTTCATATGTCTCTGCAGTTTTTTTTTCTTGCTGAATATGAACTGTTCTCTTTGTGGATTGATCTGTGCTGTGTTTGTTAATTCCTTGTTTCATTCTTTTTTTTTTAGTGCACAGTAGCTAGTCAAGGAGTCAGTCCTTGTTCTACACTAACAAGCAGCACTACGTCGCCTAGCACCGATAGTCCCTGCTCTACTCTGAATAGCTGTGCTGACAAAACAGCGGCCAACAAAAGTAGTCCCTGTGGGACCATTAGCAGCCCAAGCTCCACGTTGGAAAGCAAGGACAGTGGAATTATAGGTAAGCAGTTTAATTCCTGATAATGCAGTCACTTCTGGCTGTCTCTTCTGTAGCTTGCTTTTTATGTGTGTCTGCAAAGGCTATCTGCTGCAAAGAAAATGGAGCTGAAGCTCTCTTATCTTAATTCCTGATACTGCGTGACTCCAATTTCTTTTTTTTAAAAAAATGTAAAATGATCTTTCATTCAATACTATGTCATTCTCTGGAATTCCTTTGAGTATTTTTTTAGGTATGTAATTGTGTTCTATTTACTTATAACTCTTATTGGGCTAGAAGGGGCTGAAAACCTTCATTTATTACAAGGCTGTGGTTTTCAGAGGTATATGTTGGTTGGGGAAGATAGTAGTTTTTCTGTAGAAACAGATAATGTTGCTATGGCTTAATAGTTAATAGAGTTATGAATTTCAAAGTCCTTTCTTCAGATTTCAGTACCACTATGATCTTGTTGAAGTATCTTCAGAATTGATATTATCCCTGAATCTCATCTGGAATGCAAGGACAACCTTCTGACAAGCAAAGTCAATGGGGAAGCCAGATTCACCTAACAACCGTGATACTAACTTAACAGTTGCAGTGATTCACTTAACAGCTGTGGCAAGAAAGGTTGTAAAATGGGACAAAACTCACTTAACCAATGTCCTGCTTAGCAAAGGAAATTTTAAGCTTAACTGTAGTCGTAAATCGAGGATTTAGGTTAGAAGGTTAGAAAAGGGGATCACATGACTCTGGCAACTGCAAACGCCTTAGTCTGTTGCCAAACACCTGAATTTTGATCATGTGACCATGGGGATGCTGCAACGGTATAAGTGTGAAAAACGGTAATAAGTCACTTTTTTCAGTGCTGTCATAATTTTGAACAGTCACTAAATAAACTGTTTTAAGTAGAGGACTACCTGTGTTCACAAACATGTTACTGTAGCACAGTGGTAGATTTGTGGTATCTGAGTTGTGGGGATGATGGGTGAATGTATACCTAGTATTACCTAGGTATAGTCAAGGCTTGTGTGCAAAATCTTGGAGATCTACTGCTAACCATTGTCCAGTCATTACTAACCTAAAACGACCAATAATGTACCTCCATAAACGGAAGTCTAAAACGGGGGGCCCCAACCTCTGGGCCATGGCGCACTAGTGGACCATGAGCTGTTTGCAACAGGGCCGTGGAAATGGGCAAACGAGCAAGCACACATGCGCATCCCCACTTGCATGAGCAGCAGGCAAGTGTGTGCACGCACACTGTATCTGTGTGAGCAGCGGAGGCATGTGCACACAGCTTGTGCAAATGCAGCTGTGCGCATGCACGCGCCTACCAGCCAGTTGTCCAGAACCATCCCCTCTTCCCCCCCTCCCGGTCCACAAAGCCTGAAAGGTTGAGAACTTTGGTCTAAAATATGGAAATAATTGTTTTCCATAAACAATTATGTGCCAATGAATGACCTAGTGCTCTATTGCTCAGCAAAAGCCTCATCCCCACCATGATGTCTATGTTAATTGGAAGTTACCATGCCAGGTTTAATTGCCTGGAAAATTGGTTTTCTTATACTGGAAAAACACCACTGGTCTGTATAAAATTGCAAAAAATTCTGAAGTAGATCTGCAAGCTGGACACCTAAGAGTTGCTTTCTGTGAAATGGGCAGCTTCATAAATTTGATAAATAAATGCAAATAAGATTTCTTACAATTTTTGTGAAGCTATATATTTCCCTGGGAAGTGGCACTACACAAAGCATTTAGCTGTTTTATTTTGAAGTTGCTGTGGCAAGGTCAAGCTTGGAGTTCGGAATGGTAGTGAAGGCAAACAATGGACACTGGTAAAATGCTGCTTGTCTTCCAAGAAATAAGACGTTGCTTATTTTTAAGATGTGGAAGCAGAGGAATTTTTATACTAAGGAATGGTTTGCATGCTTAGTTTAAGATTGGGAATGTAAAATGAACACAAAGTAAGCTATAGAGATCTGAGCTAAACTGAAAGCTTTAGAAAATCTAGAAGAAAGCCAAGGAAAAATAGCTGGGACAGTAAGGATCCTGAAAGAATATCCGTCTCAATGTACATAAGTTCATATCATTTATTCTTAGTGCTGTTACAAAAATACATAAGATGCATCCGTCTGTCACAAATATTGAAAGATGCTAGTGCTTTTTGAAAGAGAACATTTAAAATGGAATGAAAATGATGGACTAGGTTTCTTCTGTTTGCATTTATCTGTTTAGTTTATTTCCCATCTTTTCATTCATACAACCTTCAAGTCACTTCCCAGCATTAAAAGAATGCAAAACTAATAATGAAATGCTCCCTGAATTCCTTATAAATCTACTTATTCTGCATTTATTTGATAAGGGAAGCAGACACTAATTTTCAAACCTACCAGGCCTTTTTTTTTGGTTTATGTGTGCAAATATATTACTAGCATTAATGTTCATTCAGTACACAGTTTAATAAGTATGCCTTTTGTAAGGTTTTCTTGTGGAGGGAGGGCAGGCTTTGCTCAACCATGAAAATAGTTGTTCTTCTATGCCACTTAAGTCGGCTTCTATTCTGTTTCCATTCCTGCTACGTTATTCTGGGCCAGTAGCTCCTTTGAGTGGAAGATTACCTTCCCCTCCTCCTCCCACACTTTTTACTGGCTCAGATAGCTTTCCTTCTCTTTTTGGTGTTTTATTGCCTTAGTTGAAATTGTCTGTGCCTCCACTGACATAAAAAAAAAGAAGAAAAAGTAAAGGCAGAATTTCGTCTTTTCCAGTGAGCTAAAGAAGAGAAAGGTCTGGGCTAGTGGCCAAAAGGAGAGGAGGGGGGGGATATTTGGCAAGATGCCCTCTTTTCAGGGTTACAGACTTGAGTGGAAAACCTCTTCCTTCAATTAGAAAATCAGGAAGGAGTTTTCTTTCATAATATATCAAAAGACCAATTTTTTTAAAAAACCAAAACATTTAATAATTCTGTCACATGGAAGCATACCATAAGGCTCTCTTCAAATTTTTACATATTTTATAGTGCTTGAGTTGTTAGTCATCTCAGTAAAATGATAGTAGTTTTCATGGCATATTTTCTTGAATGTTAAGAGGCGGACAGTATATATAGACAAAACTAAGAACATTTACAGCGACTATCCTATATTTTCCCAAGGATTATAATTTAAAGTGACATGAAAGAACTTGTAGACTTGCCAGAAGGGTCACATAACTATCATTTCTCCTTATGTCAATTCAAAGTTTCCCATGATTGTGTGGGTGTAACCAAAACTGTACTACTCATACCCAGGAGGGTATTCTTATGGATTTGTGTTTGTTGGGTTTTTAGGGACAGTAACAAGTTCATCTGAAAATGACGACCGGAGTGGATCAAGTTTAGAATGGTCTAAAGAAGGAAATCTCAGAACTGGTGTACACCAAGGAATTATTGACAGAAGGACAGATAATTGTTCACCAGTTGCAGAAGAGGAGACAACAGGTTCCTCAGAAAGTTTGTCAAAAGTGGAAGCATCTTCTGGAGATGGCCCCATTACTTACATTCAAAACTGTGGCTCGTTAGGAATGCCTCGACCCAATTCTGTTGCAGGTAAGGAAGAACTGAAGAGTTAGTGTTGATTGCTTTCCAGTTTTTGTTCTACTGAAGTGAAAACATTTTCCTTTAATGTTGCTCTTGTATCAGCATAAGTCAGTTCTCGTAAATTTAGATCTGTTCTTTAGCTAATGGGCAGACAGGGGCAGAGCAACAGGAATTTTTAAAAGTACAATATAAACCATAAATGTGTTCATAGAATATCCTGACTTTTGTAATGGTTCTTGCAAAAACCACCTATGCAATTTTTTAGGATTCTAGTCAGGGAACAGAAGTTCATATCCTCTTGATTGAGAAGAGAAATTTGTCATATATGAAAGTACTTTAAAATATAGTCAAGTGCATTCCTGCTGAATTCTCTTCTCTTTGTTTCTGTAAGTTTTAAGTCAGCTGGTGGTGGTTCCTGCCTATCTTTATTTTTACATGAATTTTTTTTTTGTGAAGGCTAAATAACTCAAATTCCTCACCCCTATATTTATGGCTCATGTAGTTCATTCTTGGTTAAAAATATAACCGTCATAGGATGGATGAACAAGATTGTTGCCTTAGTGGGAAGAGCTTGTTCCACACTGCTGGAAGTATATTAAGCAATTTTTTTTAAAAAAATTTAATTTATATGCCGCCCTTCTCCGGAGACTAAGGGCGGCTTACAATGCGTTAAGCAATAGCCTTCATACTTTTGTATATTTTTATACAAAGTCAGCTTATTTCCCCCACAATCTGGGTCCTCATGGGTAAGAACTGGTCACCCAATGGGTAAAATGGGTAAGAACTAGTCACCCAATGGCATGCCTTGCTTTTCTGATAAGGTTGCTAGTCCATTGGATTGAACTTGCTCCAGTAAGCCTAAACCAGAGGGTGACCCAGCTGTGTGTAATACAGTATCTGTGCCAGTGTTTTTATTGCAATTAATTTGAGGGAAGCAAGAATAGAACTATCCTCTTCTTTTTGCAAGAAATGAAGATGAAATATTTACAGATTTTAGCATTGTGGGCTGAAACAGAGGCATGAGGTTCCCTACTTAATGAATGTATGAAAAATGACACTCAGATTACATGATTGCTTGAGAGCCTATTCATACGCCTGGCATGACTTTCAGGTCTTCTACCCAAACTCATGATTTTAGTCTTTTGATAGCTGTAATTCCCAATATATTCTTCCTGCAGAATTGCATAAAGGGCTCTTCTGAGACGGTATATAGAGTCCCACATAATATTACCACATTGTCTATAATGAAGTGGAAGCAAATTTATTTCCCAGTTTAAGAATATGAAAGTGCAAATTTGAAAGGTAATCTTATCAAGCCATTTAGATAAAAGTTAGAGCAATGGAATTACAATTCATCCCTGCTTAGTTCCCCACCTTGTTGATATTAAATAAGGTTGGTGATCATATATAGGTAGTTCTCCCTTATGGACCACTCATTTAGTGACCGTTTGAAGTTACAATAGTGTGAAAGAATTAATTTGCAGTCAGTTTACAACTTTTGCAGCATCCCTGAGCCACGTGATCACCATTACGATCAGTATGCATTGTCCTGTGCCTGGTTGGACACAACAGCTTATTCTCCTGAAATTTCTTCTGCTCTAACCTCTCCACTATCGGATGAGGGTAGGAAACATGATTTTGTAGGCTTTGTATTACCTTTTCCCTCCAGGGATGAAATCTACTTACCTTCCTTACCGGTTCAGAAGTGCATGCACGAGCATCACATGCGCGCACAGACCTTCTGTGCATGCGCAAAACCTACTGTGTATGCGCAGAAGTTAAAAAACACATTACTTCCTGGTTAAAACCAGGAAATAATGACACCCGGGTGGGTGGGCGGAGCTTTGCTCGCCATCACTACCGGATCGCCAAACCACCGACCAAGATCACTACCAGACCGGGCGATCCAGTCCAATCCGGGAGCATTTCACCCCTGTTCCCCTCCCCTTACTCTCAGAGCAGAGAGATTGGAGAGGAAGGAATTGTAAGAGAGTACTATAAGCTAAATAGTAAAAGCCAAATCAGTTGCTCAATGCCCAAACGAAGAAGACATATAGATGATCATAGGTGCCAATGTCTACCTTGCCAGCAGTGGACGATCATGCATATGATTTGCACCTCACATGGTGTCTGCTGGGATTTACTGTATAAAATGGGTATGGCATCCTTCCCTCAGTGTGACTGTGGGGTCCCACGTCAAACTGTAGATCACATTGTGACTAGTTATAAGCTGAGTGTATATCTCATTTCAGTTTCTGAATTATTTTCAGATAAACAATGCTGCACTTCAGTGGTTAGATGACTTGGACATTAGTATCTGAATATAGATCTTTTTATGTATTTATTCACATTTAGTTTATTTTTAATTTAGGTGAAATATTAGTATCCTTTATCTGTCAATGTTTGTTATGCCATATGTTAAATAAATAACTATTAAGCTGATTGTGTGGGGGCAGGGAGCAAGTACTGTCTGTGGCAATCTCTCCTTTGCCTTACCCTTTCCCTCCCCACCGAGCAGAGAGACTGGAGAGGTAGGGTTTGCAAGAGAGTAAGCTGTTTGCTGTTCTACACATCAAAACCAGTGTGATTGCACTGGCAGCCAGTAGCCCAGGGCTGGGAGCCGCAGGCAAGCTACACCAGCAGCTTATAGTATTCTCTTGCATCTTCTCATAGGACTCTTTAAGATTAATTCAGGACTCTGCACATAAAAAAAAGAACTATATCCTGAATTTGCTCTACGGATAGTTGCTGCATTATTACCTTGTCCAGTTTTGGGAATACTTAATGTGGCATAATAATCTTCCTGTTGGAAATTTTTATAACCATTATAAATCCTCTGCAAGAGACTGCAGAGGAATACATTTTAAACATAAAAAGAGAGGGAAATGGTCACTTTCACACTGAGGAATAATCTTTAAAAACTGATCTTTTTGAAGCAGATCCGTCTGTGTAGGCAAAGCTGTCAAAACTCATTTCTGTTTTGCTTGGGCAAACCTGCAGTTGGCTTATCTAGACATAGTTTAGTTTTACTGGGGGGTGGGGGGTGGGGTAAAAACCTGAAGCAACTTTTGGGAGAGGACTAAACCCATGGATTGAAAGATTTGTCAAAACCAGGTGCCAATCACAGCAATTTTATTCAGTTAGTTAAATGTTTACTGTTTTTCAAGGGGAGATCACGCACATGCATTTACCATTTTAGACACTATCCCAATATCGCGAAGTTTAAGAACTCTTGCTTCACCGCGCTCTGTAAATTTATCGGTGCTTTCCTATTTGGGGTTACTTTTTTTATGCTTTTTATTAGCCGAATGAATCAGTCAGACGTGGCCTTGCAACTTCTGTAATACCGTAGAGATATTTGGATCCCCGATGGACCTCCTTCCTCTTCCCCCAGTTTACCTCAGAGGCTCATTTCCATGGATCTCTGCTTTCCAATTTTCTTTCCAGCTTGAAGTGGCTCCGCGAGTGCAGACAAGTGCCCTGCAGTTCTTCTTTCCCCTGTTAATGCAATTGGCCCACTTAGACAAGGAGGTGCCTTTTCCATTGTAAATGTCACTGCTTGAACCATCCAGGCATGGATAAGAGCTGCTGGATCTTAGCCTGCCCTTGAATGGCGAGTCTAAAGAAGGGAAGAAAGAAGCTGTATCTGAGTTCAAGGACTCCCTCTCGCATGTTGTAGTGTTGCTTCTTTGAGATGAGCCGCTTGTCTTCTTTGTGGGAATTACAAAGCTCATAATTCATCTGGGTGTCTCTCAGTGTTGTGGATTCCTTCCCTTAAACAGCATTTAGCTGTCTGCTAAATGTAATTAGCTAATGTTAAAACCTGGTTTCTTGATCTACAATTAGAAGTAATAGGACAGCTCTTCTTTTAATCTAATTTACTTCTGTTTCCAAGCCCTTATTTTTTGCTATACATCCCCCCCAAACACTAATTATTGTCATTTTATTCAGCTATTATTACAGTTAACTTTACTTCGTTTGTTTTTCTGATTTATCAACTTTCATATTTTTGACTTCGAATTTTTTAAAGTTTTTGTTATTTCTTCTATAGCAATGTTTAGTATATCTAAGAGATGCTTAAATCTTTGGAAATACCTCCAGAATTTCTAGTTTGTTTGTTTTTTAATAGGAAGAATAATTTAAAAAAATCTTCCAGATAAAAGATAGTTTTTGGTTTGTATATAAGTCTTAATTCCCAGACTTGTATGTGGATGTGTTGTAAGAGTTGAAGGATTTCACTTTCTATGTGCAAATAAACTCAGAATCTCTTTACATTAATGAACTTTTGTCTCTACTGCAATGAATATCAGAACTCTTTAAAAATTAATTCTGCTATTCAGTTTATCTGTGAACTGGAGATATGCCAGGGTATATATTGTTGTTACTTCAGTTAGAAATAGTTGAGAAATGAGGCAGGTAGATGTTGCTTAAATGCAAAAGAGCTAAATGGGGACAGTCCCTTACTCCAAGATATTGGAAATTATCCAAATTTCTAAACTAATTTATGTCTAAAGTGAGTTCAGCTGTTTTGGAAAACATCACACAAATATCAGGATGGTAATTGTTACTAGCCGGTTTCTGTTCTTGTGTGACCCAAAGGTTGCTCAGTAAATGAGAAATGTTTCAACAACCATGGACAGCCTACTTATTACAGTTGGATATGTTTGGGGTTTCCCCCCTAAGTTATATATAAATGTTAACCACGTTTGTTTTTTTAAATTTCTGCTGCATAACTCAGAGTTCTAAAAAGGCAAGATTCTTGAAGGTTACACCTTTGTAAATTGGGTTATTCTAAAACAATCTTTCTCCCCTGCCCACCCCCCACCCCCCACCTTTCCAAAAAAGCAAAAACTTGGACTTGGGTAACTTGGGTCCGTTTTGGACCAGAACTCTCTATTTTAATATACCTCCTCTTATTAATCCTTTAAGGTAGCTATTAATTCTTTGGTTCACCAGTCTGTTTCCCAATCTCTTGAAAAGATTTTATGATTAGTAATCTTTGGAAAAGTGAGGATGGGTATCCAATCCATAACAGTTTATTATTAAATGCTGCACAAAGTCTTTCTTGCCTCCTTTGGATATCCATTGACTCAAAAGTCATCTCAAAAGCTATCTTATCATATAAAAAGCAGAAAGTTTAATACATAATTTGAATGTCAAACATCCTATTAAAATGGAGTCAGATACTGCTTAATCAGTTTTAAACCTATTCAGTGTTAGTTTATATTAAAAATACGTATCACAAATCATATATTTAACTGAAAGAAAGGAGCCTTGACCCAGGCAATTTGGGCAGAGGTAGGTTGTTTGAAAAATGTTTTCTTTACAAATAGGAAATTATACATAGTAAAAGTGGCTTTCATGCACAGATTTATTTCCTACTACAAAATATTTCTGGTTACATTATGTCTTCAAAAGAAGAACATGGAAATTCCTTGAGTATCTTGTTCTTTCGTAATACAACAACTTGAAGCATAATAAATTCTTAAAATTTAGGGCCATGGGATATTATGATTGACATATTAATAGACAATAGTGATTTAACTCTTAACTTCATACTCATGAAAGTTCAAGGCTCTATCTTCAGAGTGACAAAACTGCCAAAAGTAGTTGTATGATTCTGACAAGGAAACATTTCAAAGATCATTGCTGCAGTTGTTGTTATTGTTGTTTCTTGTTTATATCAGTTTTTCCAAAGAATTCTAGAGAACATATTAATTCCACATTTTCTCTTTCTCAAAGAAATAAATGTTCTTTGATTTAGAATAGAGATAGATAGATAGATAGATAGATAGATAGATAGATAGATAGATAGATTGAATTCTTTATTGGCCAAGTGTGATTGGACACACAAGGAATTTGTCTTTGGTGTATATGCTCTCAGTGTACATAAGGAGAATAAAATACGTTCATCAAGAATAAAAAGATACAACACAGTGATAGTCAAGGTTATTAATAAGCTATCAAATCATACTACGAAACAAAAACTATTTAAATTGAGAAATATAAGCTTATATAATATAAGCTATTATTAATATTATTAATATAATATTAATATAAGATATTAGCTTGGCAACTAGACATAATCTCTCTTTGTACGAGTAATAGCTGAATATTTTCCTGAGTGTGAATATAGCTTCAAAATACGGCTTTATAATCTTGACCCATTTTTTCTCCTCATCCTCCATTTCTTATGTAGAATTAAGAACAATGAACTGACGGGGGTCAGGTAGCATATTTTTTTTTTTAACACTTGTATTTTTCCTACTTAAAAGTATCCAAATATAGAGTGATACTTAATACATCATGCAAATCAGCTTTTTCCAAGACCCATTACGGCAACACTATGAGAATATGTGGTAGCATGCAAGGTCCTTACATGTCTTATCTGAGAATAGTTTTATAATCCATGCATGAAGATGAAAAACCAATATATTACTATATGGTTTCCTTCTTCTGAAACTACCATGTTTTCCTGAAAATACAACCTACCCCGAAAACAAGCCCTAGCCCGATTTTCATGCCTGTGCCTAATATGAGCCCTACCCCAAAATAAGTCCTGGTTAAGCCCCAACCACCATCTGGTTGTACGAGGTGGGACGAGGCACAGGTGTAAAAATCAAGCTGGGGGCGGGAGTGCCCATGCACCCCATATCCAGTTACCAGAACGTTGCGAGGCTCATCGCACTGGTGCTACCGCTCATGGCAGAACATCGTGAGGCTCGTTGCGCTGGTGCCGCCACTCGTGGCAGAACACTCCCACACTTGCCGCCTCCTGCATGTCAAAAAAAATAAGACCTCCCCGAAAACAAGCCCCAGTGCTTATTTCGGGGCCCAAAAGAAAATAAGACCGGATCTTATTTTTGGGGAGTACACGGTGCATAAGAATATACTTGTATTTTGATCAGTTCTTCTTATCTTCCTGATTAGTTAGCTATTCTCATTACAGCAACAAGTTCCACAAAGCTTGAAGACCTGAGCTATTTGGATGGACAGAGGAATACTCCTTTGCGGACCTCAATTCGCTTACCTTGGCACAGCACTGCTGGAGGGAGAGTTCAGCAAGAAATAAAAGGTAAGACCTATGCCAAAGCCATGATTTAAAAAGATCCTTTTTTTTAGAAGGCCATGCTACCAGTAGAATCTGAGGAGGGTGTATTTGTGGAAAACTGTTGAAGTCTGTTTCCTTCTTTATGGCATTTCTTAGAACTGATTTATCCCCCCTCAATTTGAACTTCCATTAAAAAGTGAGGACTGTAACTATGCCAATAGACGAGAATATTTGTAGGTCAGGCTTGAACTGTGGAGGATCCTAGGTGCTCTCTGAGCTTGGTTGTTTGCTTGCTTGCAGACGCTTCATTACCAAACTAGGGAAATCACCAGTCTTAGGTAACATCATCAGTGCTGATAACGTTACTTAGTTTGGTAGTGAAACGTCTGCAGAAAATGGTGTCGGGTGTCCTGCTTGGGCACGGGGTTGGATTAGATGACCTACAAGATCCCTTCCAACTCTGTTAATCTGTTAAACAATCAAGCTCAGAGAGTACCAAGGACTCCACACTATAACTATAGTCAAAAAAGACAAAGGTGACTTATTTTTAAATATTGTATTTTTCAAAGAAATAGATTCTGGGCCCAGAACATTGTACCTGAGAATTTAAAGTCAACATTTGATAGAGCTCATTTTCCATTGCTTGATGCCTGGATTTATAATTTGCTGTCATATTTTTTCCCCTTTGGGCTGTCTATCTTAATACTAGGTATTCGCAGAATTTGTGACTTGTTCTGCTGCTTTTTCTCTTTCTAATTTATATGATAAATGTTGGATCCCCATCCTTTCCTTAATCCTCCTTCATATCTGTTAAGTCTTAAAGCACAAATTTATTCAGGAGAATTAGGGATAAGGCTTACCGAACATGATTGTTGAAACTAAGAGCATTTTGCATGAAAAATCTAGTGTGTTCATTAGAGAGCCTAACTTCCTGATTTGTTTAGCACTCCTGCTGGAAGGAGGAGTCATGTGGGAGTAATGGAGCAGCCTGGACAAATATGGTTTTTTTTTTCCCCTTTAAAATCGACTCACTGTATCTGGACTAGATTATTGAATTTCAAAGCAGCTTAATATTTCTGTAGGCTTTAAGTTCTTTTTTAAAAAAACCATTTTTTTCATTGCCTTGTCCTCTAATAAAGTGTTTCCTTCTTTTAGCACGTTTTGTTCCATATAAGCCTCAAGATATTTTGCTAAAGCCATTATTGTTTGAAGTGCCAAGCATAACAACAGACTCTGTGTTTGTCGGAAGAGACTGGCTGTTTCAAACAATACAAGAAAAGTTGAAGAATCCCAAGCAGACAGAGACGAGGGGAGCTGTTGTGATTGGAAATGTGGGATTTGGAAAGACGGCTATTATTTCCAAGCTCGTGGCACTGAGCTGCCATGGAGGTCGCATGCGGCAAATTGCTTCCACCAGCTCTGCTTCTCCCAAAAGTAGGTTTGAAACTTTTTTTTTTCTATTTAAGGGAAAAAAATATTTAATTCAGAAAGTGGAGCTATATATGCTTTTGTGTAAACGTGTCTTATATGGATTGCCATTCCTAAAGGATAGTAAACTTTCTATTAACAGATCATAAAATTGTTATTCTCCTCCCACCCCACCCCACCCCACCCTCTTAATATGGAAAGACAAGCCCCTGCCTACAGGTAGTCCTTGATTTATAACCATTTGTTTAGTCACTGTTGAAAGTTAACTGAAAGCATCCCCACGATCACATTATCAAAATTCAGGCACTTGGCAATCAGCATGTATTTATATGATGGTTGCAGCATCCCAGAGTCATACAATCGCCTTCCAGCTGGCTCCAGACAATTAAAATCAACAGGGGAAGCCAGATTCATTTAACAACCGTACAGTTCACTTAATGACAGCAATGATTCATTTAACAACTGTGGCCAAAAAAAAAAAGGTGGTAAAATTGGGCACAACTCACTTAATAACCATCGTGTGTAGCAATGGATCATCTAGTCCCAACTGTGGTCATAAATTAAGGACCACCTGTATTCACATTGTATGTCAAGACCCGTTTGAGATTCATTAAGTGCCGTTTGATGCTTCGTAACACAGAAGCACCTGAAGCTTTTTTTTTTTTTTTTGCGCTGTCTGGAGCTTTCTTCTGATTTCTTCCAATTTCAAAACAAAATTGGTGGCAAAAGTGCTTTTACAGCCCTCTCTAAACGGTTTACAGAGTCAGCATATTGCCCCCCAACAATCTGGGTCCTCATTTTACCCAGCTCGGAAGGAATGGAAGGCTGAGTCAACCTTGAGCCTGGTGAGATTCAAACTGTCAACAGCCAGCAGTCAGCGGAAGTAGCTTGCAGTACTGCATTCTAACCACTGTGCCACCACGGCTCAGAGAAAGATCAGAGAAACACAGGATTCCCCACCATCCAGTCACAGCTAAAGAAGCTTCTTGGATGAGAAGTGAAACATCTTCAAAGAAAAACCAGAAAGTCCACCTTTGGGAGTTTCATGGACTTCTTGATCATGGTGCCAAGAGTAACAAAATGAGTCCTGTTTTGAAGATTTCCCGATCTCCTTCACTTTTGATGGTTGGAATCCATCAAAGACTTTTCTGTTTCAACAGATTAGTGAATGGCTTTTTCTTAATCTGCTAACTGCAAAGTTAGCAGATTAATGAGTTTTTGCCATGTATGTGTTTTCTGGCTTAATTTTTATTTTTAATTTTATCTGATTTGTACAGGTAGTTCTCGACTTACAGCAGTTCATTTAGAGACCATTTGAAGTTAAAACTGCACTGAAAAAAGTGATTTATGACCGTTTTCACACTTCCAGCAACATCAATTTCAACCTCCCCATGGTCATGTGATCAAAATTCAGACACTTGGCAACTGGCTGGTATTTATGGCGGTTGCAGTGTCCTGAAGTCATGTGAGCTCCTTTTCTAACCTTCTAACAAGCAAAGTCAGTGGGGAAGCCAGATTCACCTAACAACAGTGTTACTAATTTAACAACTGCAGTAATTCACTTAACAACGGTGGCAAGAAAAGCTGTAAAATGGAGCAAAGCTTCCTTAAGAAATTTCTCACTTAGCAACCGAAATTCTGGGCTCAGTTGTGATCGTAAGTCGAGGACTACCTATACATGGTCCTGTAAACGGTCTTTTTTATACTAAGTGTGAAAGTTGTTTGGCTGCAGAGTTCACCTCCTTTATGAACTATGCACTTTGCATTCATTAATCCAGTCCTATGATCACTTGCTTATTGGGAGATTATTCCTATTTGCCTGGATGGGAGATTAAGATGTGGTTCCTTTCTAATCCATTCACTGGAGTGTGCTTTTTCTCATAAAAATCCTGGAAAAGGTTCTGAAAGATGTGGGCCAAGAAGCTAAAGCGGCTTGAAAAAGGAAACTCTGAAGAAAATTCAGAGGAACCCAAAAAGGAGAAGGGAGGGGGGAGCAAGTGAAAGACCCATTGTGTTGATGGTGCCGCCTGCTATTTTCTTGGATCATGTTTTGGCAGGGAAACTGAAGAGCAATTTCTCCTGCAGGCTTCAGTGAAAAGTGTGTGGATCACGTCCAGATCCCTAGTCACTCTATGTCAGCCTTCTTTATCCACATGGATAGGATTCTAGGTGCCATCTTATATGTGCCGGATGGATTTGACAGCTGGTGACAGGGAGCTATTTATCCTGTTTCCAGAAATGATGCAAAAACTGGTGCGTGAAGAGAGGACACAGAGCTTCAGCCAGAGGCTGTTAGCTACAGATAAAATCGTGGAAGGCCAGAAGATCAACACTTTAAAAAGATGCCCAGGGAGCTCTGTAGGACTAAAGGAGAATATAAATTCTAATTTAAAGGGGAAAAAAGTGTAAAGTCATATACTGAATCATATATTGAAGAGAATAAATAATCGTGTATTCCTGGCAAATCCACAGGTTCAATACTTATTTGTTTTGTTTCACAAGATGAATTTGAACAAAATTTGAATTGATTCAGTTGATGTCAGTGTTCAGAGTGGGCACAAATTCTGCTTCTAACATACCATTTTTTCCCCTCTCATTCCTGTTCACAGCATAGCTAATCACTACATTTAACAGGGCCCCTGAAACTGGGATGGACTTGAGGGAAGGGTAGAATGGATGCGAAGGAAAGGTCCTATTTCATCATGTATTCATTAGATGCCGTCTCCACACAGTACTTGTGTACTCTACAGTAGCATGAGTGCTTTTGGCCTTGAGTTCTTGGCTGGTTTCTAAGTACTATTGAGGTCCATTATATCTCATAATTAATGTCTGTCTGTCTATCCTCCCTCTCTCTCTCTCTCTCTCCCTCCCTCCCTCCCCCTCCCCCTTCTCCCCCCCCCACACCTATGTATACCATTTGCTGACTTGTAGCTTTTTGGGAGTAACTGTGCAACAAAATGTGATCGTTTTTAAAATTCTGACATGAAGATGCAAACAGAAATCACTGTAGCATGACACAATTTTGTGAGAGCAGGGGTGGGGGAAAGTGTGTGTGTTTGCATGTACGCACATACAATGCTCTTTCTGTAATCCACTTCTTTGGAGATGCTGCCTTGTTTCAGTTAACTTCTTGTGCCAAGATTTTGTTACCAGAAGACTCCAAAGGGAAGCATAGCCAGAAGCTATACGCTGGAATCATAACTGGTAACACCTGAGAAAAAAACACAAAATTCAAACAATGTTTAGGTTTCTCTTGAAGACTAAACATGTCCAGTATTACAGATACATAATTTGCACCACAAATGGATGCCGTTGGTTATAACTCAGGTCTCTGCTTCTTCCCCTGCAGCCAATGATCCTTGTCAGGAGATTCCTCTCAGCCAGCTCCCCCCGTCTCTGGTTCCTTCAGCTGGTACCAGTCCAGCCAAAACCTCAGCTGGTCCTCCTGCTCAGGAACATCAAAACCAAATGGATGAATCAGTTAAACGCCTTGCATCCAAGGTAGCGCATTTAATGCTCTGTGTGTAATGCATGTGTGTGTATAACAAGTCAGGATGCTGTGCAGATAGACAAGCTTGTGTCTCACCATTTTATTTTACTGTTTTTTAGCTTTAATAAAACCTGATCAATTTGATGCACGAAGACAGAGAAGAGACAGTGCACATTCTTGAGGGCTATTTTTCCCTTCCTGGTGTTGCTGCTTCTATCTGACTTCGGCAGGGTTAATCTGTGATTCCAAAAGGAACACCCCCCCCAACTTCTTCCTGGTTTATTCAGTATAATTTCCTCATCTATTGGGAAGAGGGAGCGGAAGAAATAAAACACTGGATTTAGGAGCTTACAGTGTGTTCGTCACTGATGTATCTAACAGTTACATAAACTGGAATTAGCAGATTGCACCAGGGATAATTCTAATGCATTTACTTTGGTAGGAAGGATTGTGAAAATAGGAAAGCCTTGCAAAGGATTGAAAATAAAAGAGGATTTGCTTTGGTGTTGAAGTATTTACTTAAAGCAGTATTATGTAACTATTATCCTAATGCTGTCATCCTCAGTGCCATGCTATGTTTAGAATTTGATAGAAAACACACACATTAATGTAATTTAATTTAATTTAATTAAAGCTGTAGTTTTATGCACCCTTGCTTGGGTTTGCACTCGGTGTAATTCAGCTGTATTTCTGAATAATGGGGTACAATTGCTGAAATTAAACTCAATGTCCCTACTGTGAGTGCACTAATTGAATGTACCTAAACTATGGAGACTCCAAAAGGAGGTTCATGACAATTATTTAATTCTTTGATTACCACACTATTAAAGGTGGTAATCAAACTATCAAAGGTAGAGTTGATTGACAGCAACCAAATAGCATTTTGCAAAAAAGCAAACAAATGAACAAAAAGACAGACTGTACACACTGGATTAGATTGCCACTCTATTGAATATGTGAACTAAAACTTTCTGGTTTTATTTACTTATTGGCAGGAACCTCTCCCGTGGGGTTAATGAAGTGCCATGTTTATTTCCTATTGCTTTAACTATTTATTCTGGCATTGGGTACAGAGTAAATTCTTTCAGCGCACAGCACAGGATCTCTGATGCTGACCAAGATTATAGGATGGAAAGTAGAAGCTTTTAAATATTTTCTCCTGCTGAAGAATTGATCCTAATTTGTGTGTGTTTGTGTGTGGCTTTTGTTAACAATTTGCATTGCCAAAACTGTTCTTTTGCTTCCTTAAATGAAGTGAAAGGATGAGAAATTAGCTGCTTCTTCCCAGTCCTGTTTAGATGATGTAATGGGGGACAAAATGTGTATGTATTCTTGAATGAGATAATGTAACAGTATCAGAGTTGGAAGGGACCTTGGAGGTCATCTAGTCCAACTCCCTGCTCACGCAGGAGACCTGTATTAGGGATTTGAACCGCTGAACTGCCGACCTTTCTGATCAACAAGCTCAATGTCTTAGCCACTGAGCTACCTAGTCAGGAATGGATGATACTGATAATGTGTTTCTCTAAAACTCTTACATCAATATGTGCTATATTATGTAATACAGAAGATTTTTTTTCGAAAAGAAAAATAATGTTTTATACAGATATTTATAAGTGAATTTATCACAGTTAAGAAAAAAATGCCATACTGTGATTCTGCTGTTGCAAAAAACAAAAATAAATTATTCAGCCGTTACATAGAGAATTATATTAGATGTACAATGCTGGGGGCCAGATATATTTAGCTAATGGATGTAAAAATATACACACGCACGCTGAAGAAAAAATTTTGCTAGTTTTAACGATTATATGTTAAACTAGAGTAGTGAGATCTGCACATAAGTTTGAATATTCTTTTGAGGTTTATGTCTCAAATGGTTTAAGGAATAATTAGAGTGCATTTCAGCCTGGGATACTCCTTTTTCATTATTTTGTGTAGTTATCAGCCAGAAATTCTAAACAGTGTTTTATTTTTTTTAAAAGGTCGTTGCCTATCACTACTGCCAAGCTGACAACACTTACACATGCCTTGTCCCAGAATTTGTGCATAGTATCGCAGCTCTACTTTGCCGGTCACCTCAGTTAACAGCATACAGAGAACTTTTGATAAAGGAACCACACCTACAAAGTATGCTTAGCCTTAGGTCCTGTGTTCAAGATCCTGTGGCAGCATTCAGAAGAGGCGTATTGGAACCACTGGTGAATCTTAGGAGAGGTAAGCAGGAAAACATACACATGCCAATATGGAAAAGTATGTAGAGTATTTTATAACAGCGGACTGGAGAACAGTGAAGAGGTTTCCTTTCTTTGAAAGAGGACAACAAATACCATACAGAATGAAACGGGATAGAGTTGATGTAAAAAAGGTAAAGGTTTCCTGTCTAGTCGTGTCTGACTCTAGGGCACGATGCTCATCTCTCTTTCTTGGCCAAGTGGTCATGTGACCAGCATGGCTATACACCAAAGGCACACACAACCTTCCCACCAAAGTGGTACCTATTTATCTACTCGCATTTGCATGCTGCTAGGTGGACAGGAACTGGAGCTCACCCCATTGCGCGGCACTCAGGTCTCAAACCTAGGCTGTTGGCTTTCCAACTGACAAACTCAGCACCTTTAACTATTGTTATTATTAATTAAACTTGTATGCTGTTGGATTCTGGGCAGCTCACAACAGTAAAAGAAATTACATTGTTAAAAGATAGCAAGCATGATGAAGTGAGGGATTCCACTCTTCCTTGCTCATTCCTTCCATTTCCAGGGCTTCACTGCTCTTCTAAACAACAGCAGAGTGGGGGGGGGGGGCATCAGGATCTTAGGAGGAATCCCATTCCAGAAAGCAGATGTTGCTACAGAGAAGGCATACATCCAGGGTTCTAGAGATGGTATTACTATGTATGTGTCATATAGGGCTTTATAAGTAAAAATCGAGGGACGCGGTGGCTCAGTGGCTAAGATGCTGAGCTTGTCAATCGAAAGGTTGGCAGTTCAGCAGTTGAAATCCCTAGTGCCGCGTAACGGGGTGAGCTCCCGTTACTTCTCCCAGTTTCTGCCATCCTAGTAGTTCGAAATCATGTAAAAAAGCCAAGTAGAAAAATAGGGCTCATCTTTGGTGGGAAGGTAACAGTGTTCCGTGCACCTTTGGCATTTAGTCATGCCAGCCACATGACCACAGAGATGTCTTCGGACAGCGCTGGCTCTTCAGCTTTGAAACGGAGATGGGCACCGCCCCCTAGAATCAGGAACAACTCAGCACATATGTGCTAGGGAAACCTTTACCTTTAAGTAAAAATCAGCATTTTGACTTCTACCCAGAAGCAAATTGGTAACCAATGCAGTTCATGAAGCAGAGGCATTACATGGGCATACCATGGCAAGGTGCTTAATAACTAAGGTGACTAGGGCATGAATGACTATCTGAAGCCATCCCCCGATCTAGGAAAGAGGGCAACTGGCGTTGTCAGATGGTGTTGTGCAAAAGCCATCTTGCCACAGATGACACCTTCTATTTAAGCAGAAACTGTGAATGCATGGAGCTCCCCAGATTATGTATATATTTATTAAATAGAGAGACAGAGAAAGAGAGAGCTGATATATTAGTCTTAAATTAATAATGAATATTAACTTCAAAAGTTTTTTTAGATTATGGTTTTATATATTTATTGATATGCTTCCAAACTGTCTGATCTATACAACAATGGAAAACATGAATTATTCATGAGAGGCGCTGTGCATCCATTTGCAAAATGGAACCTCAGGGTGCCATGCAGATGGTTGTTCCACAATTTAGAAATGCTATGTAATCATTCTACTTTTAGCAATGTTGCCATTCTCTAGATCAGTGACGGTTAACCTTTTCCGGACCTAGTGCCCAAAGTGTGTGAACGTGCGTGCGAATGTGCAAAGCATGTGCGTGCGAATGTGCAAAGCATGTGCCCAAACCCCCAAAATGCAATGCATGTGCACCCTCTACGCATGTGCCTCACACATGCATGCACCCTCCATGTGATTTTTTAAATGTTATCTAATTCTGGGTTTTATTTAATTGACCAAACTAAGTAATAATTTTAATTAGCAATTTTATGATGTTTGTGTGTCTATATTTTTCTTGACTGTACACCGCCTTGAGTCCTACGGGAGAAAGGCAGTATAGAAATATAATAAATAAATAAATAAATAAATGTGCCCTGCCCCTGCACATGGGTGCACATCCCCCTCATGTGCCCCACCCCACGCTCATGTACACGTGGCTCCCCACATGTGCCCTGCCCTCCATGCATGTGTGTGCCCTCCACATGCCCCCCGCCCCTTCACGCATGCACATGTGCCCCAGGGGTGGGTTCTAAATTTTTTTACTACCGGTTCTGTGGGTGTGGCTTATTTTGAGGGTGTGGCTTGGAGGTCATGTGACTAGGTGGGCGTGGCTAGCTGGTCGGAGTCAATTCTGGAAGATCCTCGTACTTACGACCAGTCCTCGCACTTACGACCCGACTCATTTGTTTGCTTTTAACACTGATCAGCTGTAGGACGGCCCTTTGAAGCCCTGCGGCAAGAGTTTAAACAGTTTTTTTCCCTCTAGTCATCAGCTGGGACTCAGGAGGCAGCAATAGATTGGGGGTGGGACCAAATAAAAGGTAAGAATAACGTGGGGGGGTGGGGGGTGGGAGGGCATGGGGGGAGAACCGGTTCGGTGACGTCATATCGTCACCGCTACCGGCTCGGCTGAACCGGACCGAACCGGGAGGAACCCACCACTGGTGTGCCCCCCGGCATGCGCTCTGAACCTTGTGCATGCGCGGCAGAGACCCGAAGACCAGCTGCCCGTGCACGCCTGTGTAACAAAGTTGAACTGGGGCGACAGCTCATGTGCCCACAGAGAGGGCGCTGCGTGCCACCTCTGGCACGCGTGCCATAGGTTCACCATCATGGCTCTAGATAAAATGAAATGCAGTTGCTATCTGTTCATTTAAGTATATCTGTTAAATAGAATTTGAAGCAAATACTAGCCTGGATTGCCTCTTTTTGATGAAATATCCAACTCGATAAAACATTTATCACTTTTTTTCTTTTGGTTGTTAATCATGCTTGATAATTTTCTCTATTCTTAAGGTTCTAAAATGACAACATCATACAGTATTTGTTTTATCTTTTTGGTCTATAATCCATTATGTAAATTTAAAATGGGATGTTTGGATTCCTTCAAGAAGGCGTGAAGCTAATCGTTGCTGTGTTGCTTTTTTATTCTCGTTGACCATTTAAATGAATTTCAGAATTTGTGTCAGTATTGTTTTATGTTAATATTTGTACCTTTTTTAGTTACATCCTTCTATACAAAGAAGTAGTGTAGGATATAATTAGATAGTATATGCTTAAAATATGTATTTAATAATGTTTTCAAATAGAACAATAACAAGAAATCACATCTTAAGAATTTTGGGAATACGTTGATAGATTATATTGCTGCACAAGAAATAGCATAAAATAGATGCACTATAAATATTTAGGCACATAGGAGCTACTTTTTCAGGGGATGAAAGCACATTAAAGCATGTTGTCTTCTTATCAATAAATATCTTGGATCTTTTGTCAGTTTTTAAATTAGTACTATTGCCAAAAATAACATTTTGCTTGAGTTAACTATTTTAGTATTTCTATTAACATACAAAGGATCATTTCTTATAAAAAATATTTTAACTATTTAAAAGTATGAGCATGTTTTTGGGAAACTGTCAGAGTGGGACATTTGTTTTTCCTTTTAAAATTAAAATACTTCTTTTTTTAAAAAAAATATAACTTTTAACTGCCTACCTTATTAAGATAGAATAACATTTGTGGGTACCTCTTTTAACTTCGGAATAGTAGATTCATGGCAAACATTTGAATAGATTGGTCTGATTTACTAGAAAGAAGTCTCTTTTACAGACAGTAAAATAACATTTAGCTATGCCACTTTTTAGTAAAGGAATCTTCACTGTAGGTTTCTTAGCAAATAGGTAAAAAACACTTTTTATATTTAAATTAGTTGGCCAATGTGTGTCAAGAGGAAATAGCCTTTTATTATTTGCTTCATGTTTGTTCCATATATAAAAATTAAGGGACATTAATACTTTTTTTCTAATCAGGAATCAAATTGCTGCAATATATTAATAAATGTTCTTACCTCTTTTGCTTTTTCACAATCGTGTCCTTCAGAACAGAAAATTTCAGAAGAAGAATGCATCATTTTAATAGATGGCTTAAATGAAGCTGAATTTCATAAACCTGATTATGGGGATACAGTTTCTTCATTCATCACAAATATTATTTCTAAATTTCCACCATGGCTAAAACTGATCGTGACCATAAGAACAAACTTTCAGGTAATATTTAAGCAAATGGTGGTATAATTTTTGCAAAAGGCCATAATTTATTTGTTGTGTCTGCAATATTTGTATTCAAGTGTTTTCATTGTGTATTAAGAACATTGTTCCACACCAATGCCACTGTGAGTCAGTTTGACTCACATTGATGCTTACTAAAATCTAAAAGTAAGTAGGAGTTTGAGCTGTGTAGCATTCTGAAGCAGCTGCAGTGACCTGAGGCAAGTCTTTTGATTATGTACCACACAGGTCCTTTTGCTAGAATTTCTTCTGTTCTTCCCATTTTCTCTTTTGTTATGAAACATCTGTGGTTTCAAAGTTTTATTTTCAAATTCCTTTTCTCCAATACAAACTGATTTCAAGATGTAGGCCATAAATCTCTGAATTGAAGAACGCTAGGGATCAGTATAGAGCAGGATTTACTTCCCAATCTTGACCACGGCAGGAGGCTAACCAGGAAGATTATCAGAACAGTATTTCAGAAAGTCATATGATTGTTCCCTATTAAAGCATATGGGGGAAAACTTTTTCATGAGTATAAGATATCTTCTTGTTTTGCATATCCTCTTGTTACTGTAAATTGGGCCTTTAGCTTTTAAAAAACTCTTGCTTGGTCACAAGAACAGGGTCAACCACTGTCAAGTTATTAAACTTGACCTGTTCAAAGATTACCATTTTAAGAGTTCAAATAAAATATCTTGAATGTTTTTTTATATAACACCATTCAGGCAGACTAGAATAAATGCCTTGATTTGTTTTGTGTACATAAGGAATCTGGGTTGTTGGGGTTTTTTTGTCCCTGATAATAAGTGTTCAAATATTTAATTGTCTGTATGAATATAGGAAATGAATAAAGGTATTGTTAGACTACAGGGTTACCTGTTAATTCAATAAATACACACTGGTGCTAATATGTCTTTCTGATTCTTACTCAAAAAGCTTTCACCAGCTTTAATGTAGCATGGTTTTAAAATCAGTAGATATAATAATGAAGTTTGACAAATGCTATAAAGTACTTATTTCTTTCTCCTTCCTTCTCTAATGCAGGAAATAACCAGCTCACATCCTTTCTTCACAATCTCCCTGGATGATTTTTCAGACAACAAAGAAATACAGTCTGATTTAAATGCATATATTCAGTACAGGATCAATGCCAGCCAGGATATAGTAAACAATATTTCCCTCAATGGAAAAATTGATGCCATGACTATTGGGAAAGTGAGCAACCACTTGATCTTGAGGAGCATGGGATCTTATCTCTATTTGAAGTTGACACTAGATCTCTTCCAGAAGGGTCACCTAGTGATTAAAAGTGCAAGTTACAAAGTAGTTCCAGTATCTCTTTCTGAGCTTTATTTGCTTCAGTGTAACATGAAATTCATGACAAATTCAGCCTTCGAAAGAGCTCTCCCAGTGCTAAATGTGGCTCTAGCGTCTCTTCACCCAATGACAGATGACCAGATCTTCCAAGCAATTAATGCTGGCCAGATACATGGCGAACAGGAGTGGGAAGAGTTCTCGCAGAGGATGGAGGCCCTTTCAGGCTTTCTGATAAAAAGACGTGACAAAACACGGATGTTCTGCCATCCTTCCTTCAGGGAGTGGCTTGTTTGGAGAGCAGATGGGGAAAGCACTGACTTTTTGTGTGAGCCAAGGTAAAATATAGGAGATACTAAAGAGAAAAGCTTTAAGAACCATTGTAATGTACACTTAAGTTGGTTGAAGGATACATGGAGTTGAAAAATAAAAAGATGTGTGCATATCCAAAAGTAGAGGTCCTACAATTGTTAAGGAATGAATTATTAATTATTAGAATCTGCATTTTAAAATTTAGTAACAGGAAGGATGGTGCTCTTATCTGCATTATTGCTAGTTAGTCTGACTGTCCAGCATTGAAAATCCTTTACCAAATTATTCTTGTACACTTTCAGACAATGCTTTCTCAGATTTGCAGAGATTATAGACACTTCGACAGACGGAATATTTATTTTATTTATTTCAAACATTTACCGTATATAGCTGCCCATCATATAGAATAATATGGTAGGAGGGAACCCACTGGAGGAATCTATTAAGTTTTTGAATTTGGGGCACTGATAAGTATTTTTCCGCCCCAGTTGTCATTTGCAAATCCTATCAATAAATTTGGGTACGGTCTGTAATGAAATTATTGATGTCTACAGTGACATTCATATTATTTGGAAGAAAAAAAAAGTTCAGCTATCTAAGATTTATGGGTCCCTGCTGCTTGGTGCTCTAAATTTAGAAGCAGTTCAAAAATTAATGAAGGAGAATGAATGAGCATGTTGGCTCCTGGAGAAATGTACTTCATCAGGTCTATTTTGCTAAGCAGATGTATCATTTGCATGCTAGTCCCGGCGCTGCAGCAGCTCTAACAATTCTCTTTCCTAGCTCCGAGCATTTCAGTATGCAAAATTGGGGATTTAGTGCTGAGCATGGCTGTCCTTTGAGGCTTTCTTAACGACACAAATGTAACACTGACTGAGGCTCTAACAGGTCTTTAGATGAGTTTTTCATGCCACAAAAATTACAGTAAGGTGCACCTGAAACCCAGGCGTACTTTGAAAACACTGTGATGTGACTTTGAGGGAGAGTATTGTTCAAAATAAAAAAGTGAAAGTTCAGTTACATATGTGAAACCCATTAAATACCACTAAAATAATTTTCTCCAAGGTATCTTTCAGTTCAGAACAAAGAGGCATTTATCACAATCACCTTGTGATAGACAGGTTGTGCTAGTCAAGGGTGGGCAACTTGCAGCCCCAAGTCTGCAGTAAACCCAGAGTTATCTTCTTGTGGCCCAGGAGGCCTGTCTGATGATTCCCCAAACCTGGAGACATGTTTTCCTCCTATTTTGAAGGACAAAGGAAAATATGTAACCACACACATATAAAAATATCCTAGATAGACACAGTTGACTCAGGAAGATTTCTAAAATCACTTCCCCTGCCCCTCCCCCAGTTGTGCTGTTCAGGTAATCCTCAATTTATGACCACAATTGAGCCCAAAATTATGTTGCTAAGTGAAACATTTGTTAAGTGAGTTTCGCCCCATTTTTTGACTTTTCTTGCCACAATTGTTAAGCGAATTATTGGAAGTTGTTAAGTTAGTAACATGGTTGTTAAGTGAACCTGGCTTCCCCATTGAATTTGCTTGTCAGAAGGTTGCAAAAGCTATTCATATGACCTCGGGACATTGCAACCATCATACATAGGAACCAGTTACTAAGCATCTGAAATTTTGTCACGTGACCATGGGGATGCTGCAGTGGTCGTAAGTGTGAAAAATGGTCATAAGTCACTTCTTGCACTGCTTGTTGTAACTTTGAATGGTCAGTAATTGAAACTTACAGTAAATTATTTATTTATTTATTTATTTATTTATTTATTTATTTATTTATTTATTTATTTATTATATTTCTATACCGCCTTTCTCCCGTAGGACTCAAGGGGTGTACAGTCAGAAAAATATAGATACACAAACATCATAAAATTGCTAATTAAATTATTACTTAGTTTGTTCAATTAAATAAAACCCAGAATTAGATCACAAAAAATCATCACATGTTCATATGTTTAGCCCCGCCTGTTCGAACATCAGGGTCTTGAGGCACGGCGGAAAATCAGGGATATTCCGTATCTCCGGGGGCAGTTCATTCCAAAGGGTTGGAAATGTTGTAAGTCGAGGACTACCTGTATATATGATGTGGCCTCATCCATTTTGCGGCCCCACCCATCTCATAAAAATGCTAAGAGTGTCCATTGAAGCCTTGCTTTCTCTTATCATTGTAACGAGTATAATTACTCAGAGTTGCCCCAAACTGCAAGATGGGCGGCATATAAATTTAATAAATTAAATTAAATTATACTGCATTATTTGATAATTCTTATTTATTATTATTTTTATGTAGGCGGTATATATTTTGATTGATCTTGAAAACTAATCCTTAGTCCTTCATTGGGAGGAAATTCTGAGGCTAGACTGAGAAGTTAGCAAAAAAAAAAAAGCTTTCTGTATTATTTGAAGAATATAATATGGATAAGCACATGAGGTCACTAAGAGTTGAGCTCAAATAAGTGATTACCTTTTTGTTTCTTTTAATCTCTTAACATGCATAAAATATTAATCCATTGAAATACGTTGGAAGTCATTTTTTTTTGAAGATCTAATGTTGACATGCATTGTCATAGTTTTATTATGATCAGGAAAACCCCCCAAATATTTGTATATCTGCGTACTGTTTGAATATTGCACAGGGAATTGACAGTGGAGTTTGCACAACTTTGCAATCATGCATATTTATACTTAATTTGTACAGGTATTATAAATACAATATGTTTTCTTCCTAAAAAGAACTAGTTTAGTTTCAGAATGATGTACAAATAACCGAATAACAGAGTTGGAAGGGACCTTGGAGGTCTTCTAGTCCAGTCCCCTGCCCAGGCAGGAAACCCTACACCATTTCAGACAAATGATTGCCCAATCTCTTCTTAAAAACTTCCAGTGTTGGAGCATTCACAACTTCTGCAGGCAAGTTGTTCCACTGATTAATTGTTCTGTCAGGAAATTTCTCCTTGGCTTTAGATTGCTTCTCTTCTTGATTAGTTTCCTTCTACTGTTTCTTGTCCTGCCTTCAGGTGCAGGCAAAAAAAAGTCCATTGGATAAGCTGAATGAGGATTTACAACCATGTGATTTACTTACTAATGGCTGTATCTCACTTAATGACTTTCATAAAATGGTCATAAAATCGAATCTGGTCATGTGGTGACTCGATTTACAGGTGCAACAACTTACAACCAAAATTCTAGGTTCAATTGTGCTTATAAGTCAAGGACTAACTGTAGTACTAATAGCTTTTTTACTTCCTAAGTTTAATATATTTTGAAATTTAAACTGTAGGCAGAGAAAAGCGAGAATGAAAATTTGTCACTTGAGATATTCCGAGGGGATTTATTAGGAACTATTTTAAATTTGTCTCCATTCTTTTTATTGTTGCATTTAGGAATGGACATGCTCTTCTTGCATTCCTCTTTTCACGTCAGGAAGGCAAACTTAACCGTCAGCAAACAATGGAACTCGGGCATCACATTCTTAAAGCGCACATTTTTAAGGTAAGAGATATATTTTATTCTGCCATTTAATCTGCCTTTTTGGTTTATTCTTTGTTAGGTATTTCTGTCACAATGCCTTACATTACAACATTCTTGGTGCTTAGAACTGGAGGCCAACATCACTAAAGAACTGGCAGCTGTGATTTCACATTGTTGTACATAATAATCGTTGTTCTTTATTATTGTTACTTGCTTCATATACAAAACTATTCCAAAACAATTTATGAAATACAAAACACCCAATTTTTAAAAAAAAACAGAGAAAGGGAAACAAATACAGAAACAAAAGTCATTACTTGAACAGTCAAATAGAGATGGCTTAGTTCAAGATACCGATTTTCAAGTGCAACATTAAGATATAATATTAGGTGCTTTGTAATTTCAGTGATTTGAGCATTCCAGAACAGAGGCAAAAGAGAGAAAACCTTTAAATATCACTTAACAGAAGACTATTAACAGAAGGCCACTGAACAATTCCTAGTTTTTCTGGGTACATGCATTAAGTCCTCCTCTAATGATCTCAGAAATAGGATCAGCTTATAACAATGAAGATGATCCCTTGGCTACCCTGATCTTAGGTTGTTTAGAGCTTTGAACCTACCTCAGCATATAATTGGCAGCCGGAGCAGTTTCTTCGCACCAAGACAGACACCCCTGAGCAACCTACATCCTAACCAAGCTCCCCTTTTGAAAATAACTTGGAGTAGTCCTATCAAAAATGCATTAAAGTAATCTAATAAATCTGAATTTATCAGTGTCTGAATATTAATAGTTAGACTGCTTCTGTCTAGGAAAAGGATAATTGGAATACCCGCTGAAGTTTACAGTAGGGTCTTCTACCGCTCAAAAGCCCGATTGGATTTATTATCAGGGGATGTCTTATTTTGGGGGAAACAGGGTAGTTATTCATAGACCTCCCATATTCTTGATCGCTCTAGGAATGTTTCCAAATCATCCGTCTGTTCTTCTGGAAGAATCTAAATACATGAAATGTGGCAGCATCCCAATTCCAATACTTAGAAACTATCCATCCACAAAGTGTCTGTCTGTCTTGTTTCAGTTTATTGACCTTTATCCACCTCATCCAGTAGATGCTGGTTGCAGATCCCGTAACATCTCTAGCCTTTGCTAACTCCTATTGATGACAGTCAGCTGTAGGGCTTTATCTTGATGCTAAACGCCGGTAGGATCAAAATCATGCCAGTAACTATCCATGGCCAGAGGTGTACTCCTCAGATACTACTTTCTGAATCTCTCTCTCCAAACCAGGATCAGAAACCCTCACCCCCATCACGTAACTATATAATTCATAGCTGTAAATTTCTCAAGACAATATAGGAGGATATCATAATTGACAGCATCAAAATGTCCTGAAATTGCACTTCCTCTGTCTCCTGTATGGTTTTCTGACAGGATGACCTGTAGTTATACCGTATGGGTTTTGTAATTGTTTTTATTGTTTTTAATGCTTGTTTGTATGGTTGCTTTATTTTTTAGATTTTTGTTTTTGTTAATATTGTAATTCTAAGCTGACCAGAATCATAAAATACGAGAAAGATGTCTATATAAATTGATTAGATAGTAAGATAACTAGAAAGACAGATTATTTCCTCCCCCCCAAAGCCAGACTGGAACTGAAATTGAAAAAAGATTAAGATATTTGGGGGAAAAGACCTATAGCATTCTCTCAACCATTTATCCCAGAAAGGGATATTGGTACTAGGGCAACGGTTGGCAAATTTCTGGATGCAGGGCGAGCTTCAGGAGTGGACAGACCATTTTGATACCATTCAGGGACTTTTAAATTGGATGGGCAATCCTTTTTTTTCCAAGAGCTGCATCTGTATCTATGCAAACACACATAGTTACATGTCTGTCTCCCTTCTGGGCACTCCATCACATTCTAGTTTTCTTTATGTTACAGCTCAGAAAAAAAGAGAAGGTAAAAAAAAAAAAAAATTCCCCTTCAGGCAGGGAGAAAGCACTGCTGCCTGTTGCTATATCCATGCAGTGGCACAAGGAACCCTCATCAGGCAGCAGGGACAGATCCTAAGGCATTTAGGATGCAGAGTGGCTATATGTGCTTTAAAAGATTATGCACCTTAAGTATATTTTTATACCTGACAAGTTACTATGATAACCACCTTGAACTGTGAGAATTTAGTCCATGAGGGCTTTTTAAATTATTATTATAATGTCAAGGAACATTCAAGGCTTCTTTCTGTAGTTTCCCCTCCCTGCAATTCTGTTGTTTCCGTTTTTGTTATCATCAGCGTTCATTGTGTCTTGCCAGGGACTGAGTAGAAAAATGGGCATTTCTTCCAGTCACCTTCAGGCCCTGTGGATTGGCTACAGCACTGATAGTTTGTCAGCAGCACTTGCATCTTTGAGAAATCTCTACACACCAAATGTAAAGGTAAGAAAATAAATTATTGGTTATATTTCCAATTTGTGTTCTGATTTTAAAAATAATAACAATAAAGATTTGGTAGTTGGTATGGGGGGTGGAGACATCTTTCTTTTTTAAAAAAATAGAATTTGGAAATAATAGTAGGTTTTAAATGTGTTGAGAATTTGTTCCAGTATGAAGAGAAATACAGGAATATTCCATCAGTCTTCAAATCATAAAGTTGAAAGGTGCCCTTTCAGCCATTGCATCCAACCTCTAGCTCAATTGAGGTTGTTTTTGAAAAGTTACTAGTTAGGATGGCAAACTGAACCAATGAGAGTAAGGGCAGAAAAAGCAACCAATTTTATGAAAGAAGGCATGTGCTATTACAAAAATATGCCCAGATTCTGAGGTGATATTTGGCTATCTGCTTTTGCAGAATTAATTGGAAAAAAATCCCCGTATCAGGAGAAAAACCACAGTGGAAGAAAGCTAGATGAAGTAATTGCTTCTACAAATGTTAAGGCTAGACAAGTTAAGGTAGCCAAATTCTCTAGCATGTATATAGGGTTCTATCTTCTACATTATGAATGCACATTACTTGAATAAACTGATTCTTGATTTATATCAAAGTCATCCACACTGGACTAGCTGAATTTAGCCCCAACTAATTTGGATTCTACTGAATGTAATCATACTTCAGATTAATCAAATCAAATGTCCTCATTAGTATCATTTGGCCTGATACACTACCATTAGAGGACTAGAAGTGTCTGTGTGTGGTATTTATAATTTTAAGAATTATAACATTGTAATTGTTTAATAGTGAGACATAGAATTCAGTGCAACTCAGCTTGCAATTGTACTAAGGAACCGTAACCTGTAGGAATCTAAATTTATGGCAATAATGGCAGCAGTTATACTGAGTAAATTGCCAGTGAATTGCCATAATAATGTTTATTAGCTTACTCCAGAGCAATGTTTAAGTGGAAAATCATACTGAGTCAATTAAAGTCTGTGACTGCAGCAGTCCCAGATAAATATTACATTAAGATATTACTAAAACATGTTGGGAGACCATTGGTCTCTCTGGTTCTGTTGTACAGAAAATGCTCTAATATGCTCCTTTTTCTTCCGTTCAATCATGTCTGATTCTTGGAGACTGCATGGACAGGTCTCTGCAGTTTTCTTGGCAAGGTTTTTCAGAAGTGGTTTGCCATTGTCTCCTTCCTAGGGCTCAGGCAAAGTGACTAGCCCAAGGTCACTCAGCTGGCTTTGTGCCCAAGTCAGGACTAGAACTCCCATTCTCCTGGTTTCTAACCTGATGCCTTGATCACTGCACAAAATTGGCTCTGTTTAATATGTGCAGGTAGTTCTCCACTTACCATTGTTTATTTAGTGACTGTTCAAAGTTACATCACTGAAAAAAGAGACTTATGACCATTTTTCACACTTACAACCGTTGCAGCATTCTATGGTCACGTGATCAGAATTTGAATACTTGGCAACTGGTTCATATTTATGACGGGTGCAGTGTCCTGGGATGGTGTGATTACCTTTTGCGACCTTCTGACGAGCAAAGTCAATGGGCAAGCGAGTTTCATTTAACATCTGTGTTACTAACTTAACAACTCCAGTGATTCACTTAACAACTGTGGCAAGAAAGGTCGTAAAATGGAGCAAGATTAACTTAACAACTATCTCACTTAGCAACATAAATTTTGGGCTCAGTTGTGGTCATAGATTGAGGACTACGTGTATATATTGTATTAAACTTTATGCTGACTAGGCACAAAGAAACATCAGTTAGTTGCTGTAGATTATAAAAGTGCCATCTAGACAGGAGATACTGCACTTGTGAAGTGAATAATTTAAGGCACAGTAGCCTATAAATATGACCCATAATAATAATGCAAACAAAGATGACTGTGTGTCTTTGTATAAACAGCTTACTCAATCATTCTTATTCCTTTTGCACATGAAACTTCCTGCCACCTGGGTTTACATAATTCTTCTTTGTCCCAATTAGAAGGTTTTTTGGGAAAAGCATAGGAAGAGAAAAGCAGGCTGTGCAGAATATCTTCATCTTAAAAAAACAGACGGAGCAACTAATAATTTTTATTCCTCACAACAATGATACCCTTGCTTTCCTTTTAAGGTTGATTTTTATAAAGTATAAAGGATGATAATGAAATTTCAGTCTGTAGCTTTTAAGTTATTGAAATTGATTGGCACCTTCCTTATAGTTTTGATTGGTTTGGACTGTCATTTTTTCTGTATACATTTTAATTGTTGTATATGTCTCAGTGTTTATTTAAATTATACCGGTAGTCCTCGACTTATAACATTTAGTGACTGTTCAAAGTTACAATGTCACCGAAAAAAGTGACTTATGACTGTTTTCCACATGTGTGACTCTTGAAGCATACTTATGATAGGGTGATCAAAATTCAGGCACTTATGACGGTTGCAGTGTCCCAGGATCATATGATCACCTTTTGCGACCTTCTGACAAACAAAAGTCAATGGGGAAGCCATATTCATTTAATAGCTGTGTTAATAATTCACTTAACAACAGTGGCAAGAAAGGATGTTAAATGGGGCAAAATTCACAACAACTGTCTCATTTAGCAACAGAAATGTTGGGCTCAATTGTGGTCATAATTTGAGGAATACCTCTACAGTAATAAAGGATAAATATATGTTTTATTAACAGAATAAAGGAATGACCTCCAGGTGACCTGAATCAATTTTCTGCTTTAACACTCAGAATCAAATGAATTTCAAAAATGATATTATCAAAATGAGATGGTGATTTATTTTTTTTAAAACCTAGGTGAGTCGTCTGCTGATTCTGGGTGGTGCAAATGTAAATTACAGGACAGAAGTCCTCAACAATGCCCCAATATTGTGCGTGCAATCTCACCTTGGGCATGAAGAAATGGTCCTCCTCCTCCTAGAATTTGGGGCTTTGATTGATGGAGCATCTGAAAATGGGATGACTTCACTTTGCTGTGCAGCAGCTGCAGGCCATATGCACATAGTTTCACTTCTTAGCAAAAGAGGAGCAAAGGTAAGTTTCATAAGAGACTTTGCATGTTTGGAATTGAAGCAATAACAATGGCAATTAGACTTATCTTCCACTCCATGGTGCTTTAGTTGTAGTGATGTTGTTGATAAGCAGAGCGTGCTCCATCAGGATATGCTTTCTGTCAATTAAACGTGGAAAAATTATGTATAAAACTGTTAACTGATGTCCTGCTCAAGTTTGCACAAAATTGCTTGGAGAAAATTTAAGTTAAAAGCCACATGATGCAATTACATATGGCCTTACTTTTCTAACATTTAGTGTATCTTAAGAATTGGTGATACGTATTTGTATTATTTCAGAATTATGTACCAAGGAATGGTTAAAATGATAATATAAGTAATTAAATAATTAAATGGAAGCATTAGCAGAATCCTTGAGGAAGAGTAGATGCTTTGCAAGAAGAAGAAAAATAAATGAACGGGGGAAAAAGCTCCAATTGAGACGTGTGCTGTCAGATTATTAGAAGAAGCTTGTGCCTTCCAGAAATTTGAGAGGTAGAATATTGACGTGTACTTATGCATGCTACAAAATCAGCCTGACCCAGTGGCTCTATGGAGAGCAAGAAGGGTCATGCTTACAAGAACAGCATCGCTACTGTCAACCCTGAAGTTGGCTGAACTGAGGCCATGTTCATTTTTCCGCTTCATTGCTGACACATACTGGAGCTGAGGAATTGGGAGGGGGAAATAGAGATAGCTGAGGTGCTGTAGCCAAAACAAAATGCTTCCCTATGGGAACCAAGGACAGTCCCGCAGGTGTTCAGAAGGAGGAGACTGAGGTCATTTAGCAACTGGACTGTATGTTGATTGGACCATGTGACTGAGGATTTGGGGAAAGTGACAAACGTTCACTTTTAATTAGGTGAAAACTACGGGAACTTTTAGAATCGGTTTTCACCAGATCTGTGCCAATATGATATTTCCAATAAAGCTGTTCTTTGAGGTCTTTACCTGCCTTGGAGTTTTGCTTGATATGGGATTATTACTTGGACCCCTGACAGCTACATAAACCCCATCCTTTTTCTATGTGTTTTGACATTGCAAACATGCCCCAAAGTTTATAGCGTGACACTCCAGTGCTATTTTTGTGGGATCTTGAGCTTGCCATAGCTTTGATCTCATCTCTCCCTTTCTGCAAGGTTCTTTTGAGTCAGGAGAAATAATTACTAATTAACAGGTTGCCTCCTCCCTCCAACCAAGTGTCATTTTATAGTGCTGTTACCATTGCCGTTTCTTTTTTCCTCTAAACTTCCTAAAGCATCAGCGTATAGTCAAGAAATTAGATCACCTCTTTATTATTATTGCTTTGATCTACCACACACTGTTTCATGTTGTTGATACTATGAAAGAAACATTGGCTAGTAAATAATTCTTGGCACGCTGTAATGTTTGGTGACTGATAGGTTGCCAAGAAATCCTGTGATAGGATGTTTGTCTTTTGCACGTACCTTGGCTGATCTTTTGTGGCTGAAAAGCAACTACTAGTTTATAATTAACCTAGTTACTATATTGAAATCATTTGGGAAAGGGAAAAATCATTTTGTTTGAAACATATTATCAGGCCTTCTAATAACTCTTTTTAAAAATTGGCCTTATAATAAAATTGTGAGAGTGAGAAGAGACTATGTTTGTTTTGTAATATGTGGGATGCCAAAACCACAGCCCTAAAGGTCTCGGGGGTCCTTCTCCTGATCCAGTACTCTTACTTGGATTATTATCTTGTTATTTTGATTATTTTTTTGCTTGATGCATCTTCTCCTCCCTTTAAAATAGATTGATCACTTGGACAAAAAGGGACAATGCGCTTTGGTTCATAGTGCTCTAAGAGGTCACTCTGATATTCTCGAATACATGCTCAGCATAGATTGGCAAACTTCGTCTCACCAGCAAAGCTCCCTGTCAAAGAAGCAGGCTCTTCAGCAGGCCCTGACTGCCTCTTCAAGCATGGGACATGGCCAGGTAACTTGTCTCCTCTCGTTTTTCCACAGCCTGCTCTCACTCCTTCAGGGAAGACCAGATTAGGAAAGTCATGGAGGCCACTTTTATTATAGAGCTATTGTAACAAAATCTTGCCATTCTGACAATACCTCCCTCCCCTTCCTCCCTTTATCTTCATGGGAACTGGGGAGTTTCTTGTCTGCAGTGCCTTCTCAAGCTACAGTTCTGGCCTGGACTCAGATTTCTTTTATCTATTATTTTGGTTCCAGTTCTTCCTGTTCCTCAAGGTTGTTCCAAATGCTCATTACATCTGTTCATAGGTTTAAAAAAGAGACGCCTTTTCCCCATATAAAGAACCATATTTATTGCATCTTTGTGTAAAATGGAAACCAAAAAAGGTTAGTATATACAATACGCCGGATTGACACTGAACCCAGCCTGCCCCACTGCCAAACTTGGATGCTCACAATTTTAGCATGTACAGCAAACAGAGTCTTGACTGGTTTTCCTTTTTTAAGTGCCTTTGATTTGGGGCTTGGTTTCAGCTAGCTAGACAACATACTTCAGTTTGTAACTAAAGCTGCTGGATTGGCGATATTGGGCTCAAAGGCTCACCTGATGCATTTATAATTTTATCAAATTAATATTTGCTTGCACACTTTAACATCTGTAATATTTTTATTGCAACTTTTAAAAACATGTTGAACTCTGCTGTGCATGGAGTAAAGCAGGATTAGATCTTCCTGTGTAAATAGAAGATTCCTTTTGGTTTTAAAATAAAATCCAAACAAAGTGAAAAACTTCTATTTAATTGGAACAGAATATCCAGATAGCTATTAGCAATAATCATTTCTTATTCAATTCATATTGAAATAGTTTGCTTTTTTACGTGTCCCTTCATTATTATATGGTTAGCAGTAGAGCAGGAGTGTCAAACTCGCATTGTCACAGTATCGTCATGTGATGTATCATGACTTTTTAACCTTTTGCTAAACTGGCTGTGGGCGTGGCCAGGGTGTGATGCATCCGGCCTGTGGGCCGTGAGTTTGACATCCCTGATGTAGAGGCTTCTTAAAGAAATTATCTGTAAAGAACCAGTAAAAACAAAGAATTGCTTCTTTAATTTTTTTGTGTTAAGTAAGACAGAATATGTATCTAAAATAGTGTGTTAATATTATAGACTAATATGAATGTATGTATGTATACACTTCAGGATATCTCTTTGATTCACACAGATAAGTGTGAATCCCCAAAGTGAGGCCCATTTAGAACTTTATGGAAAGAGCTTACAAAATGCTCAGGGGAAGGCTCACAAACACATCCTCCCATGTCTCAGTCCTGCCAACCCTTCCTTCTGTTTGTTTTTGATCTTCACAGCTTTTTTTCTTTAAAGATTATTCTTTACTGATGTTTTAGTTTTTTTCTGCTTCTTAATTGTTAACTTGTATTTAACCCTCCTATCAGAGGCACCTAAGATTCAAACTTCAGGCTCCAAAAATTCCATTTAAAAAAAGACAACATTGTGGGAACAAATTTTCACCCTCTAATGGTCATAAATGGCTTTTTTTTTGTTTTGTGAAAGGTCACAAAGCATAGGCAGGCATTTATTAAACTGGTTTGTTGCAATCAGTCCTCTCATTCATGAGCCAAGAGACTTCGCAACAAGAAATTCCTTTGAGGTTCACATCACACCCAGACCTTAGCATAGAAGTGGCCTCTTACCCAAATATCACAGGTTTTCCCTTCAGTCAGACTTGGGAATTTATAACAGAGCGTGCGGGCAAGCAGGCCATATGGATGAGGCTTTTCTGTGTCAGAGAACAGGGAATTTGAATTGACTTCTCTTGGGAATATAACTGCTGAGAATTAGAAGTAACAACAAATCCTGTTTGTTATTGTTCATTACTTGGTCAAAAAGCACAAAGCATTTGCTATCCTGAACCTAACCCTCACTAAGGAGGAGGAATTGGTTGAAGAATGGTGATGAACACTTGGTGAAAAAATGATCATGTTATCTTTGAATTTATAATATCCAAAAGAAAAAAGTACCGTCATACCTGCATAGTAATGAATAGTAGACTTTGATGAGCTGTGAGGGAGGAGAGATTAATTTCATTGGCTTGAAATCCTGAAAGAAAAAAGGATCCAGGAAGGATGAAAAATCCCATGAAACAAGATATGAAGAAACAGTTGTAAATAACTTCTATAAAATTAGAAGATCTCTAAAGAGGCCAGCATGGATATAGGCAGAACTCTGTAAAATGTTGAAGAGGAAAAGGGACATATACAAGAAAGGATTAGGGAAGGGAAGGACACATAATCAAAGAAAAATACAAAGTGGTTCCAGAAACTTCCGGAACTATGGATTGCAGAAACTGTATGTCCTCTCTTAGAAAGGGAGTGGAACTTTACATGGTCCTTGTTATGCCACTGAGAGGAGGAGGGATCTGCAGCTTACGATAGACAAGGCCAGATCGATTACATCCTACAGTCCTAAGGGAACTAGTGGGAATGATTGGAGAACCACTCTTGATTGTGTATGAGAACTCCTGGAGGATTGGCAAAATCCCAGAACATCAAAAAACAGCAAATACAATATCCATCTTTAAAAAGAAGAGAAACCAAGAAACTGTAGATTTGCCAACTTAATGTCTGTCCCAAGGCAGCATAGACACTACCATGTGTTTGTTGCAAATACTCTCTGCAGGTGACGAGAACTAACTTTAAGTTTCCTCCTCTTCTCAGTAGCTAATGCTTTAGAAAAGATTTACTCAGGTTTTAACGGTAGGTTGAAATTAAAAAAGATGGAATTTAGCAGGGAGAAATGTATAGTTCTGCCTCTGGATAAGAAAAATGAAATGCATAAGTTTGGGAGGAGGGGAGATCTAGTTTGGTGGCAGTACATGTATAAAGGATCTGGATGTCCTCAATGAGTAGGCATTAAACATAGCAGTGCAATGCATCTGCTAAAAAGGCAAATGCTACCTTGAGATGCATTAACACCCCATAGAGTCCAGATTACATGAAGTAATTGTTATATTCTATCCTGCCCCAATCTGACCTCATTTGAACTACAGGTAGTCCTCAACTTACAACAGTTCGTTTAGTGACAGTTTAAAGTTACAACAGCTAACTTTGAAAAAAAGTGATTTATGACCATTTTCCACACTTGTGACCATTGTAGCATCCACGTGATCAAAATTTGGATGTTTGGCAACTGGTTCATATTTATGACGGTTGCAGTGTCTTGGAGTCATGTGATCACTTTTTGTGACCTTCTGACAAGCAAAGTCAATGGGAAAGCCAGATTCACTGAACCAACATGCTACTAATTTAACAACTGCACTGATTCATTTAACAACCGTGGTAAAAAAAGGTCATAAAATGGGGCAAATCATATTGCCATCTAAAAGACAATGTACCTAATTGTATGATATGCATGGAAGTTAATAATTCTGTAAGATCTCAGAAGTTGGAACATGGGTCTGCATAGGCCAGTGATGGCGAACCTTTTCGGCACCGAGTGCCCAAACTGGAGAGCATGCCACAGCCCGGAAACTTGAAGACCAGATGTCAAACCTATGGCACGTGTGCCAGAGGTGGCACACAGAGCCCTTTCTGTGGGCATACGCACCATCGTCAGCTGCTTTTTGGGTTTCCGGTACAGCACATGCGTGCTAGCCAGCTGATCTTCGCGCGTGCGAGAGCCCCGGAAACCCGAAGACCAGCTGGCCGGTGTGCATGTGCGCGTTGGCCACCTGGTCTTTGGGTTTCCGGCGCTCCAGCACACACAAAGATCAGCTGGCCGGCACGCATGCGCATGCAGGAAACCAGAAGAGCAGCTGGCAATGGCACGCATGCCAACAGAGAGGGCTCTGCATGCCACCTCTGCCATGCCTGCCGTAGGTTTGCCATCACGGGCATAGGCTATAACCGATTGGTGTGAATTCATGGAAGACCACTGAAGGCCTACAATTTTGTGCTCTTTGTGTTTCCTCCCAGAGGCCAAGGCAATACACCTAATACTGCTCCTCTAGTTGGCATGATAAAGAGGCTAGTAATTGTGTTACAGTATCCAGCTGTAGAGCAGCCTGTCCTTTCATAGGTATTCTCCTCTTTTTAGTCCAGACATACAGGGGGATGGGGGTGGGGGGGCGAGGAGGGAGGAAAACAGGATACTAATTTGTGTTAATGAATGTATTTGGCTGCTTGCAGGGCTAATGGTGTAGACCATTCCATTCAGTTGATTCCGAGTAGGATTCAAGTTCACAAATTTTGTTTAAAATAATTATATCATGATCAAATATTAAAACCAAGATCATACATTATAAAACGGTTGTATATACATACACAAGAATTCAAACATTTTAAAAAGAGGCATTACTCATCTAGAAAGATACTAATAGCATCCCTGCCTGTTTGGCTTGATGAAGTAGCTAAGTCTTCACAAATCATTGATCATCAGGGCTATTCAAATGTCTGGAGAGATGCCACTCCACAGCAGGGGGTAATGAGAAGCCATGTTTCTTTGGCCCTTCTAAGTGGCAACCTCTGATCCAGGGGATGGAGGAAGTTACCTGCCTTATTAAATCTTCACTATTGTCTATATATGGGATTCACCTTTGAAAATGGAAACACTTAACAGAATTCTTTGCTTATACCTTTTCTTTTTTTCTCTAATAAGTCTTACTCATTAGAACGTAGACAGTCTTAATAAATCACCCACTTATTTTCCAGATTTTGAATTTCTTAATTCCCCAGCTACAGTTCTCTAACATATATACCACATTTGTGGTTTGTATTGTGTACATTTAACTTTAGTCAAATTTCTTTTCCATAAAGTTCCATAAAACCATCCAAACCCAATTCAATTGTCTTCAATATGAAATTCAACCTTAATTATATTGAATATTGATTAATAGCACAAGTCAAACAACTTTGAATACAACTGTTATGTTTTCAAGGTTGTATTTATATGTTAACAATGGTTTCAGACTTCAAGAGCATCATACTCAGAATAATCTAAGCATTTCCCATGGAACTGTTTGATTTTTACCTTTTTATGCAAAAGTCTGTTGGGACTTATTGCCACTTTAATGAAAAATAAGTGTACTCCTATAGCTGCACATTGCAGGGAATAAGATACCAATAATAGGCACATTGTCTTCTGAGACAATCTATTGGCCACTCCTGATGATAATCTGGTTCACTAGTTCTCAATCTGTGGTCTGAGGACTCCTGGGGAACCCCAATGTCATCACAGGGGGTCCACGAAGACTTGGGAGAAATGTTACGATTTAAATCTTGAGTTAAGTCTTGGGGGTCCGAGGTCATGATTCGTGGCCAGAAAAGGTATTTAAAGGTGGTCCATGGTGAAGGTTGAGAACCGCTGAACTAGTTGATGAATATTGGGGAGTTTTAATTTAGAACTTTTCAAAGCTAAAAGGCAAAAAGACCTGCTTTATTCACAAGCTACATCTGTGTCAGCTTTGCTGTTAAGTTAATTCAGTGTTGTTGTTGTTAGTTGTGAAGTCGTGTCCGACCCATCGTGACCCCATGGACAGTGTTCCTCCAGGCCTTCCTGTCCTCTACCATCCTCTGGAGTCCATTTAAACTCAAAAGTTAATTCAGTACAATCTATGTATAATGTGTCCTTTAATTGAAACTCAGTGTTTACAAAAGCATTCATAGTAATGAAGTGCAACAGTTGAGCAAACTCGTGATTTGATGGACTTCATCAACTGTTTCTCTTCCCTTCCTCTCTTTTCATTTTTCTTCTCTTAGGTCATTCGCTTTTTGATAAGAATTGACAAGGAACCTAAAATTGACATCAATGAAACAGATACTTTATGGGGAGAAACAGGTATATGTGCTAAAAGTTTTTTTAAAAACCTTTCCAAACAATGGTATATTGTAAAAGCTGAGTGAAATGTGTAGATTTAGAGCAATGCTTACCAGTTTGGGGTGAGTGGGGAGACACAATTATCAAACTTAATTCACTGGTTGAAAATCTGGTGATTGTTTGTGGTGTTTACCCAGAGATAGCAATGATAGTGTCAGGGTGACTATGTCATGGTATTAATACTCATGATAAGCATGAATAAGGATCTGAACTTTTTAAGGCTGTTACCTTTTGTGAAGCAATGTTAGACTTAAAAATTCACATTTTTTTGTCATGGCAGTGCTCGTTTATTTTAAAGTTTGCTTGCTTCTTTTGTCAGAGCCTCTCCTCATTTCTTTGTGGAAAGTGTGCAATGACAGTGTACTTAAGTAAATGAAGTTAATGCAGCTTATCATTTTAATGTTTAATTCTAATTAGTATTTCTGATTGTCCCCATGTATTGTGAGGCTCAAAGCATTAATTTCCATTTCTTTGAATACAATAGAATAGAATTTTTCTTGGCCAAGTGTATTCCTTGTGTGTCCAATCCAATATTTATTGGATTGGACACACAAGGAATTTGTCTTGGTGCATATGCTCTCAGTGTACATAAAATAAAAGATACAGTCAACAAGAATCATAAGGTACAACACTTAATGATAGTCATAGGTTACAAATAAGCAATCAGGAAACAATATCAATATAAATCGTAAGGATATTAGCAACAAGGTGGTTTGTATGATTTTTTTTTTTATTAAGGAATGATCCTTTTCTTTTTTCAGTGGGTCTGTCTAATTATGTAATGTACAACACTAGACCAGTATCTGAGAATGGAGGGGTGCTTAATGTTCAATGAAGCCTGTGTTTGACTTGCAGAAGATTGCGAATTCTACCTCGGGTTGGACAAAAAAATACATCTGCCTGGAATTCTGGGGTCAGGATGGAAAACACTGACATGAATCAGTCATGGCCTGATTCAATAGTGCAAAAGCTACTGTCCTATTTTGCCAGAAAAGATGTATGCTAGAAATTAAATTCCAATAAGTTTTGCTCCACTGTGTCAGAAGGTAGCTGTGCACAAAAGCCAACATTTGTGAAACGGAGATTATTTGAAATACCATGTGAGATACAGTAAAGCGAATGAGATAGCTTATATTGAGTACAGCAGCTTTCAGCTGTTCGAATCATTTAACTGAAAAATGTCCTTTCCTTCACCCCAACTTTTTTCAACATTTGTGGCAGCATTCCTCTGGTCTAATGGGTCGCTCTCATATTTTCCATTTAGCATCAGCTTCTTGTTTAGATTTTCATTTAAACTTCTTTTCCTAAAGTCAGAATTCATCGGACAGATTAGAGATGGGGTTTTTCAACTAGAATGGTTAGCATTCCTGAGCATAGTTTTTTTTTTCCCCCAGAGGAACTTGTTTGTTTAAGCCCAGTGCAAACTAATCTTCGGCCTTGCTTTTTTCCCAATATGGTATACTTGAGATTCATTGTTTTTGTATCTTAAGTGACCTTAGAGCTATGAGCAATACTGAGATAGAAGACAGGTCTGCTCTGCATTCTCTTTTTACCACGGTGACTAGCCTTGCCTTACACTACCCATAGTGATCAGCTAAGTATAAATACAACTGTCAGACTCCTTGGGTCAGCACAATCCTAAAATAAGTAAGAGTTATTCCCAATGCCAAATGACATGTTTTTAAAAATTTTAAGTGTATTTCCTTATACACTAGTATTTTAGATAAAAGTTCAAGCATATTTTTAAATTTAGGTAGAGTCAAATAACCCTATTAAAATACGGACAAGAGTTCTGATTTTTAATACAAACAAACTGAATTATTTTCCTCTCTATAATTAAAATGAAAGTTAAAATCTGAGGGTATAGGGAAGTTCCCTTTTAGTGATTATTTAATTATATGCTCTATGTAGCCTTAATACATAGAATGTTCTTATGGTTTTTCTTTAAAGTTTCTGGTCCCCTTTAAAACCTATATAGTACTTTCTTTTTATTTTTCTTAAATTTTTAGCATTGACTGCTGCTGCTGGGAGAGGAAAACTGGAAGCATGTGAGCTGTTACTTGAACACGGGGCTCTAGTTACAAGACCTAATAAGAGAGGGATACCTCCGCTTTTCTGTGCCGTGCGTCAGGGGCACTGGCAGGTGGGGCTATACCATTATGCATAAAACAGTTTCATTGACGGGAATGAAGGAAAGATTCATAATGTCAACTCAGAGTAGCCATTTTGGAAATCAAAAGGAAATCTGATGAATTAACGAAAGCCATGGCTTTGTTTAGATATAACTACAAATGTGTAAAACTAATTGATTTAGCAAAGAGAGAGGGGAGAGGAGAGGAGAGAATTCTTTATTGGCTAAGCATGATTGGGCACACAAGGAATTTGTCTCTGGTGCATAAACTCTCAGTGTTCTCAGTTGCAAACGGGTGGTTCTGGTAATAAATCCTTTGTTGTGTATCCTTGAGGTGGCTTGTCCCAAAATAGGGCTGTTTTGCCAGATAATTATTTCTGAGACATCTCAAATAACGTCTGGGTCACATCTTTACTTCTGGAAACTCCCTACTACCCTCTGGTCTAGTATGGTTAGGAGAAATTTGTATTTTGTGGTTTAAATTTGTTTCAGTCAGCTAGCCAGAGTTCAGATATTCATGTGAAGGACATCTTTTCTTTTGTTTTCAATGATTGTAATTTTGCAGCAGGGCTAATGAGGCTTTTTTCATTTTTCCAGATAGCAAAGCTTCTATTGGAACATGGTGCTGATATAAATTTAAGTGACAGGCAAAGTAGAACACCACTCATGGTGGCATCTTGTGAAGGACATCTGAGCACTGTTGAATTTCTAGTCTCTAAAGGTACAATGAATAGCTTCTCCAAAACTTTTTTCCCTTATTTTTCCAGTTATTCTAATATACATAGTATTTATTATTGCTGTATTTCTGAACATAGATTGACTTTTATGAATTCAGGCAAAGACACAACTCCAGTTGAAATTAAACAGTGTGTGTTGTGAGCTTTCTAGGGAAAGTCAAGCAATTAAATGAAAAATACCATATATGAAAATCAGCTTAATCAAAAAAACATTTTTTCACTCAATTTTTTTTTTTTTTTTTTTTTTGCATGTAGGTGCTGATATTTCATTAGTGGACAAGGAAGGCCTGACAGCGTTAAGCTGGGCTTGCCTCAAAGGACATAAGAGTGTGGTCCAATATTTGGTTGAAAAAGATGCCAAAATAGGACAAACAGACAAGAATGGAAGGACACCTTTGGATCTAGCAGCATTCTATGGAGACTCAGATATTGTAAGCCAAAATGCATTTTATCTTCTCTGTCAATTTCACTATCTGAAATCAAGTAAAACTATTGGTATCTTCTCCATTTGAATACCATTTAAGTAAATTCATACTGCTTTTTTTGTAGGTACAGGAAATACATTTAACAGATTTTTTTAAAAAAATATAACTGCTATTTAATGTTGAGTAATTTAGAAATGCATATATTTTGCTCATCTGATTCTCAATTCAGATACCTTCAATGCTGTGTCACACCATCAGATCAAAATACTGAAAGGAATAACATCATAACCTGTTTTTTTTCCTACTGCCTAACATCAAAATTGCATTGTTTATTGTGATTTCAGTAGATGAGATGCAAAAAGATGCCTCAAAGTCCTTGAGTATAGCTTTAGTATTAATTTTTGTAGTTTGTACTTTATATATTTGTAGATTGTACACTTTCGTATAACATGGATGCCTGTAACAACAGTCTAGCTGCAGAACTATTTATTCATCTTAACAAATTTATATAGCTGGCCAACGCACATATAGGTGACTCCAGACGGCTTACAACATTTAAAAATTTAAAAGATCCATTATATAATAAAAAACCCTACCACCACTCCTCGTGGCAGAACAACACAATTAGATTAACCACTTAATTAGCTCCATTTCCCTCTGTTGTCCCCAGGCCTACTAACAAAGCAATGTTTTTATGGCCTTTTGGAAAAGGAGCAAGGTGGGGACCAACTGTATCTCGGGGGGAGGGGGAAATGATGTTCCATAACAAAGTGGCCATCACTGAGAAGACCCTTTTTCCATGGTTCCACTAGATGACAATCCCTAATTGATGAAACCATTGGTATTCCCTGCCTTCCCATGCTGGTGGGGGTGAGTGGATATAATAGGGGAGACGTGGACCTTCAAATAACCTGGCCCTAAGCCTTGTAGGGCTTTAAAGGTGATAACCAGCACTGTGAATTGTACCCGCAGCTTCTGCAGAAGAGATGACACAGGTGCAAGTCTAGGCTTGAGCAAAATTGTTCAGGCCGCTGTGTTCTGAATTAGCCAAGTATAAAAGTATGAAAAATGCTTAGGGTATTTTATGGTTAAAGTCTGGATATTTGTAATATAAATGGTTAAGTACCTGGTGTTTTTTAAATATGATGTCTGCCGGTAGAAAATATTTTAATTTACAAATCAAGTTATGCCAAAGGTTTTTTGAAGCTTGATGAAATACATTAAGAAATATTAATTAAACATTTCTTTCAAGATTATGCTTCCTGGAAAAACAGCTGTGGAGCACTTTATTGATCAAGTAATCCTACTACAGTAATAGGGAATTGATGTACAAAACAAATACATGAAATAACTGTTCCCGGTTGTATTGTTTCAAATTGAGGATTGAGTGGTTGCACCAGTTACCACAAAGTAATGTTGTTGATTTTTTAAAAAGCTTTATTGCTTTATATTTTTATTGTTTACAGGTGCAATATTTAGTGGAGAAGGGAGCCATAATTGAGCATGTTGATAATAGTGGAATGCGCCCACTGGACAGAGCCATTGGATGTCGAAATACATCAGTGGTAGTCACCCTGCTTCGAAAAGGAGCCAAGCTAGGTCAGTGAAAGGTGTTGAGAGAGTAAAATGGTTCTGTTTAGGAATGTTTCAAAACCCAAATTATTTGCACCAGACTGTTTTATAAATACAATTTTAGTACTAATATTATGCCTATCCTAAATAAACGGAGATTTCTAGCAATTCAGATGTTATCTATTTTAAGTTAAATTCTTAGCCTGTAAGTATCCAAAGTTTGGGCATTAACTCCCAGGTACCTTCAAACTTAATGCTGAATTGTAATTACAAATGTGACCAAATCAGGTAGAATTATTAAACACATAAAGAATAATCAGATTAATAGTTCAGTTAATTCATATAAAATTTCATGTCTGTCTATATTTTAGAGCGTAGACCCCCCCCCAGGTTACATATCTTGTTACATGATCATGTAACAAGATATGAAATCATGAAAAATTAGCAGCTATAATAGAAACAAAATAAGATTAGAAAGAATGGAGTCATCCAAGAACAAGACAGAAATAGGTTATTCCACATTGCTAAGTTTATTACAATATTTCTAGGCTGCCAACTCCACGTGGACTTTCAGTGGTGCATAACTCATTAACACTAATACAAAATAAATATTTTCATTAAAATTATATTAAGATCCCTCCCATGGTAATGCCTGGCAACATTGCACTCTGAATGTTCTTCTGTGAAAGCTATCAGGGAAGGCTGTTCTTTCAGGATGGAGCATATAGAGAGAGACAAAGCCCTCCACCCATAAATATCTGTGATATTTATATATCCTGGATAGATTGTTTGTCTTCTGTTCTAAGCATATCTAGGTTATGTAGAATCATGTAGAATTTTAAAAGTAATGGCTAGCTATTGAAATTCTAACCAAAAGTCCACTGGCTACCAATACTTTTTGGACTGTTGCTTTCTGGCAGAAGATACAGAACAATTAAAACTTGGACCACACGTTTTCTGAATAGTTTTTATCCTAGAGCTATAATTGCATTCAACAATGAACTAAAGGGCCACCATCAGTGAGCTGTGGGACAGCATTACTTGGTCTGTTGTGTGGATGTTTGGGTGGTTTAGGGGTGGGGAATTTGTGGTAGGTGGGGGGATGTTATGTCTGTTGGACCTGGTCTTTGGGTGTTAAGTGAATTTCATTGTATGGATATACTGTGTATACACGTACAATGACAATAAAGTTATTATTATATTATTATTATTACAGTGCCCTGAATAGCTATGCTGGACATTTCCAGAGACTGCACCCTGAGTGGGCTGTGCATTTTTTATTAATTGTCACTATCAAATAGTTTTAAAATATAGCCCCAAGTAAAGCATATTGCAGTAATCTAACCTAGAAGGGCCTGGATGATTGCTCCAGATTTTCCTTCAGGTAGGGTTAGACATGACAATCCAACAGAAATCATTTGTCTAAAAGTTTTGGACCTGCTCCTTTGGGGAAGTACTCCTACTTCAGAGTGAATTTATTAAGTTATTTCTACAGTTACTTGTAGACTGCCCACTTCAACAAAGGACTCAAAGCATTCAGGAACAGAGCAATAAAAACAAATCAGTCTAACCTGATTTGATTAACTCAGACAATCTTGTATTCCTAGACAAGGCATCTGACTTGCTTGGGTTTACCTTCACCTTGGGTCTTTTCACTGAGACCTTGACTTCCTCTTGACTCTGGGTGAGGACCTCCATAGTATCTCCAGGGTGGAATGGCTTTGTTTCTTTGCAGACTGCAATTCTCCTGGGCTGCTTTTGATTCCCACTATCCAGAACCGTGAGATAGGGTCCATTTCTTCTTGGGAAGAACTCTGGTTCAGGAAAGGTATTTCCACACTTCCACAAGTGCTAAAGTGGCAAATGTAATTAGGTACTTGTAAGCCAAGAGCCGCTCTCTTCAGTCCAAGTGCCAAAACAAAAAAAAAGTTTGGGTTTTCTTTTTCAGCCCTCAACAGATAGGCTTAGTAAGACCTGTGAAAATCCTAGGATGTGTTCTTTTAAACAATACATCCAAATGCTCAGATTTGAAGAGATAGCTGTAGTATACATGGAATTCCAAAAAACAGCAAGGCATGCTAATATAATCCAGTACAGGGAAACTGTTCTATAGCACCTTGAGTTTCAGAGGCTGCAGAATCCATTTCAAAGATATAGGCTTGACAGCAGCAAGGCCTCTTGAGATTATTGGAAGACAGATTAAAGCATCCCACTTTTTATGGGACTCTTGGATCATGAATAGCCAGCCACTTTGTGAAAATAGTTGATCTACTTGCAAGCAACATCCCTTTTTCATGTCAGGATTTAGCCTGAAAATTCAACAACAGCCTAAAAGCTAAGATTGCCTTCTTAATTGCATTCTTCATTTGCAAAAGAGCTGGTTTGTTCTAGTCAGACAAACCATTATGCTGTAAAGTTTGGATTAAAATGGAGAGGGAGCACTCCTGATAGCGTCAACTAAGAGGCACTGTTGAGTTACATAAATATAGGAGTAGTCAATCATTTGAAAGAGTTCTTAGAATGCATTTAAGAGTTAATTTTACTTATTTCAGGAAATGCAGCATGGGCCATGGCTACTTCAAAACCTGATATTCTGATTATCCTTCTACAGAAGTTAATTGAAGAAGGAAACATCATGTATAAAGTAGGTGGATACTTGGGGTAATTGAGATCTGAATGAATGAGTGAAAAGGTAATATGTACCGGTAAAAAATCCATAGTTATGGATTGCTAAACTACCATTACGTGCAGAGGGGCTTTGTACAACAGTATATTTGCTTTTATTTGTAATATTAATAATATTAGTCTTGGCTGCAGGAAAAAGATAAATAAAATAACTTCATTTCAAATATAAAGGTGTAAGCAAGGCAATGGTTGTTGCAACTAATGTTTAAATGTTGATTTCTGTACTCATACATGAACTGTGCACGAATATAATACAGTGTAATCCTGATTCTAGTAAGGTTTCTCTAATGACAGTGAAAATCACATGAAGAAATAATATAGGTAATCGTAAATCCCGTGTAATCTTACATAGGAGAAATAACAATGACTAGTTATGTACTTCTAACCAGGATATTCAGATTCACAGATTTGTGCCCGTGAAGGCTATACAGCTCTGGAACATTCTAAAGTTGGTCATTTGGTTGGGCTGTTCCTTCCTATTACGGATGCCCCTTCAGAGAGTAGGGTTAAGGAGCTTGATGCGATAAGAGGCTCAAAGGGAGGGGTGCTTGAATGTGCAGATGATTACTTAAAGGAATTGCAGTTATAGAAAACTGAACTCTCATTATTCTTTATGACTCTCTACATGACACATATTAGAGAATAGAAAGCATATTGTAGAGTGATGGTCTCCGTTAACATAGAACAGTGGACTGCCTTGTGAAAAGCTACACGAGGCCAGTCAGCAACATCCAAGCAGTAATACTGGGTGGATTGGAGCTGGGAACACTCCATGAGTGTCCTGATTGGGTATCCTTTGGCAGTGACAGCAGACATAAAAGCAGCCCTTTAGACTCTGATGAGCTATGAAGTAAGCCAATTCCCACCATGAAAGGCATGGAGCTTTGAGGTCTTCGTGACAAAAAAAAGTGCTGAGTTTTCTGGCATGCGTATAACTTTCCTTGTGTGAAATAATGTAAGGTTCACTGGTCTGCAGAGCACAAAGTTCTCTGGTGTGACATACTGAAGTAATTAACCAAGAGAACAATTTTCATGGTCAGCAGCTCTCGGAGAAGTAAGTTGCCTTAGGTCCTAGCAATTTTGGAAAGACTTTTGAGAACTAGAAGATGAATACTTCATAAACGGAAACCATTCAGTATCTTTTAAATTAAAGATTAAGAAGTGATTAAGGGAGTTTGTGCTTATTCTCCAAAGGGAAAAGAAGAAGAGGGCAACCTAAGCAGAGTAGTGAGAAGTGGAGGGATACACTGGACTCTGTGATTTCGCCCCTCCTTTCCTCTCAATTTCATTTTTAGATAGGGAGCTATGACAGCCAAGTTCCCTGGATGGTGCACCAGCACAAGGGACTTTAAAGGAGTAACAAGGGAGGCCGAACATGAGGCCCGTTTGATGATGAAGGGTAAAAAAGCCTCTTGATGCATTAAAAGCATTTATTTTTAAATCAGGCGTAGGGAACTGATAGCTGTGTTTTAAGGATAAGGTGCACAGGATTCTCCCTGATGGAAAGACATACAGTCCATTCTCCTCATTTTACGACACTTCCAAAAGAAGTTAAAAGCCCTGGCCAAGGAGTAATCTTTGAAACTCAGCTCAGTAAATTGAAATGCTAAAGACTGATATAGTGATAAAGCTAAGCTTTTTAGAATGTTCCAGAACCATAGTTTGCACAGGCCTTTGTGTATGATGAATAAAACCAAAACAGAAAGGGGGGGAAAAAGTACTTCACAGCTAACAGCCATCAGCAGCTGCCCTCTGCAACTACAACATGATCCCAGGAAATGTTGGTGTTGGTTTAAGGAGTTGCCAAGTGATGCTGCACATGCACCAATGTGCTGTGAAGCGGCCTTTCTCGACATTCAAAACAATGCACAGCAAGGTTTGTCTTGAGTCAAGACAGTATCTGTAAAAGACAGTGTTTCTCAACCATCTTTAAGATGCATTGGCTTCAACTTCAGAATTCTCCAGACAGCATAGTTTGTTTGTGAAGTCTACACATCTTGTAAAATTGCCAAAGTTGAGAAGCACAAATATAAGGCAATGTATTGCAAGTGGGACAGCAGGGAGCGCCATTGCTTCTTCACACGCTTTCCAACTAGAAATTACCCAACCATTGCCAATTATATTTTAAATGAATGTGCACACAATTTAATTGATTCTTGCTTAGCTTATCTCAGTGCAGTGGACACTTTATAGAGAAATGTATTATTAAGGACATTTATAAATACATACCTCCATAAATGCTTTACTCTTCAAAACATGTTAAGAAGTTGTTTACTTGGATGAAGAAATTTGAATTTTCTCCAGATGTAAGGCAGTGTTATATTAGTAGTTAAAATATATTGGATGCCTTTCTCTTCGTTACAAAAAAAAAAATCAGTATTATAACTTAGGTTGAAATTAATTAAATGACTTTCAAGTTAAAGTTAAGATGCAAGTGAAAGATTGTATTTTAATGAGATTTATGGAATTGCACCTGATCACTCCTACCTTTTCATTCTTTTTATAGAAATATCATTTGTGAATCTACCTTAAAGTGTTAATTAATTTTTATTTCAGTGGGTTTACGTATATAGACAGATATCCTTTAATAATTAACTTCATAAATGTTATCTAAATATAAAGTTACTACTCTGTACTTCTTTCTGAAACATCTCAAATTGATAAAATCTGTGCATAATTCAGTGTAGCAATGTAGTTTACTCATAGCTTTGTAGCCTCTGAATTATACTGTTTTGTATAATATAACCTTTTTCTCTTTACAATATACATCTTAATAAAACAGAAAAATACCTGTAAATGAAAAATTATTGTCTTTATTACAGGCATAACTTGTTTTTAAAAGAATATTCAAAGCACTGCCATGGTTCAGGTGTGAAGCAAATATACCAGTAGTTAAGTTTCATCAACTATATTATTTGCTTCCTTACCTGATGTAAACAATTGTTGTTGTTGAAATCTAGTTAGCTTCCAAAATGAAATAGCTGCATAACTTTTAAACTGACTGGTAAAATGTTACACATTTACATAGGATATTGTTTAAAAATATTTTAAACATCCCAGTTTCATAAGATAAAGAATGCAGTTTCAGATTCAATTAGTTTTTTAAAAAAAAGTCTTTGTGGTCTCTATCATATCACATAGCAGACTCTTGCCTATAGATAGATAGATCCTGAAAGTAAATGTGCAAATATTCCTCAAACAATTTGCATGAAATTCCAAGTCTATATTATCCCATAAAAAACATTCTTAATAAAATATGTGAAGTACTAAACTTTTTTTAGTCTTTAATGATGCCCACTGCACTACCAGTTTATTTTAAAGATGAAAACACTTTTAGCAGTGAAATATTATTATTGTTTTGTGGTTTGATCTGCAGAAAGGGAAGATGAAGGAGGCAGCACAGCGGTATCAGTATGCCTTAAGGAAGTTTCCACGAGAAAGTTTTGGAGAAGAAATGAAAGCTTTCAATGAACTCAGGGTTTCCTTATACCTGAACTTATCAAGATGTCGCAGAAAAACTAATGTAAGCTCCTTCTCCAAGTTTTTCCCCATGGTATAACTTGCAGAAAATAATTCTGGGTGGAACTGCCAGTTAGATAATACTAAGTCAGCAGCTTTTTTGGATAATGGGTAATTGCCTTAAAAAAAAACATTTGTAATGACTTACAGTTTCATCCAAGAATATAGAAAGTTGGAAACTTTTTGAAAGTTTTGGCTCTTTTAGAATTGTTTAAATTGGGTGAGGGATGAGGGAGAGGACAATGGGCACCATCTAAATGTGTTCTAGACATTGGTTAGTGCTGAGTTATGTGACTGCTCACATATCTTTTTAGATATCTTTTACAATATCTGATCTTTCAGACATCCAGGTATTTCTGAAAGCAATTTGGGTACACATCTTCAATTCATGGCAATCATCTGTATCTCAGATACAGATGGACACAAACAGATTCAAACGATCAGCAGAAATGGGATTAGGAAGATGTCTTAAGTTATCTTAGCAGATACTCCTCAGTCAAATGGTTACATTAATTTGCGCACTGTGATTTTTGGCAGGATTTTGGCATGGCAGAGGAATTTGCTACCAAGGCCCTTGACCTCAAACCCACATCCTATGAAGCATATTATGCTAGGGCAAGAGCCAAGAGAAACAGCAGGTACTTAAAGCCCTTTTGCAATAATATTTATTTTGGTAATATTTTAAAAAATGTATAAGAATGATGAATCAGCTTTCAATATTACATTTTGATAAAAGACCAAGAAGTTTTCTACTGGTTTGCAAGCTGTTAATGGATATTTTGTGTTAATTTTGTGTTACTTTTATTTGTTTATGCTGGCAGAATTTTCAATCTTGGTAGGGTACCAGGATGGTCTGTGCAGCTGAACAGAAAAATTCTTAATTGACAAGAGTATTATGAGGAAAAAATTAATTGGGATATTTTTGGTAGGAGCACAAAAATGGCTAAAATCACCTCCTTAAATGCCATAACCAAACACTGACTTCACACGAAATTGAAAATAGGAAACCATTGGTATGTGCAATATACATGAAATAGCCCTACTATCACCTTTTTTGGTATAATTTTCTAAAAAGAGGGGAAAACATAATTCTTTGCTAAAAGCAAGGCTTGGTTATGTGTACAGTAGTGGCCAAAATTGTGGGAACCTTTTGGGAAAAGTGTATTTTTGAGGTTTGATGGCTAATAACACCATTTTGTTTTGGAGTAGTACCATAAAATTATATATCAATGGAAAGATAATTTAATCAAGAATGTAATGCAACAAAGTTTGTTCAATTATCTGTATTCTATGAAAAATTATAGCCAAATAACTAGAAAAAGGAAGCACAACTTGCTTAGGTTGATATCAGGTAGCTTTCCTTCATCTGATTGTAGCCAATGAGCATGAATGTTTAGAGAGCCAATCAGGTGTCATCTTGTTTTGGCAACGAGCCAATCAGATTACAATAGGATTCAGTTATTGATGTCATGTATTGAAGCTAAGAGGAGGACATTTGTCAGTGTGTTATGTGATCGCTATCAAGTTGGTTGGGTTTTTTGGTGTTCTTTCATTTAGTGAGCTTGTAAAACATAATAAAATTAAAATAATGGTGCAAAGAGTTGACTGGTCGCTTAGAAAGCAATGTAAAACAGTATTATTAAGTGAACAAGGCTACAGTTATAAAAAAATTAGAAGAAAAATTGGTGGAAACTTAACCAAAGGTGGCATTTATAAGTTTTTGAAAAGGTATAAGGAGACTCAGTCACTACAAAACCACACTGGTAAAGGCAGGAAAAGGTGCATAACAGCAAGTGATGATAGAAGAATTAAGAGACTGTGCCTACGTAACAGAAGAAAATCATCTGGGTGTATACAAGATGAAATGGCGCAATGCAATGTGAAGTTGAGTGCAAGGACTGTTTGGCGCAGACTGCAGGAATTTGGCCTAAAATCTAGAATTCCACAAAAAAAGCCACTTTTATCTCTCACACAAAGATTGAAAAGCATTACATTCTTGATTAAATTATCTTTCCATTGATATATAATTTTATGGTACTACTCCAAAAAAAGTGGTGTTATTAGCCATCAAACCTCAAAAATACACTTTTCCAAAAGGTTCCCACAATTTTGGCCACTACTGTATCTATTTCCTTTCCAAACTGAGGTACATATGCTCTCTCTAAAACAGCACTATATTAGCTTTTTTAAGTCATGAGCCACATTTTAAAAACTGGATGCCAAGATAACAAATACATTTTATATCATTTAAGGGTAATAACAGAAAGTTATGTTAATTAAAACACTACAGTATTATTTCATATTTATATAATTTAATAGGGTTAGGCTTTCTATTTTTTGTCAGTAATTTTTGAGAGAGTTTTGAGGCCTATTGTTCCTGTATTTGGGAGTAGCAGCTTATACTGTTTTGTTGCTTGTATAGAAGAGAACATTTACCAAGTTATTTATCTTATCTTTATTTTATATATCAAATTTATTTTTACACTATTCATCAACATAAAACATTTTAGTATTTTACATTTCTGTATGCTCTCCAGATGCATATTGTAGCACATCCTAAACTTATCATAGTATGAAATGAACACAAATGTGCTTATGTTTTAAGAATGCAATGTTAAGGAGGAGACTACAGTCCTGCAGGGGAGCCTTTCCAGACTCCTCAGGATCATCCTGGACTGTATATAAGTGTCCTTTTATCTCCTTCAGAAGGAAGCACATTGCAGAAAAGAAGTTACTTTCACGAAAACTGTTTTATTGCTATAGGTATTTTTGACAAGTGATTCCTTTTTTTTGAAACTGCTTTGGGAAATAAGGCCAGGAGCTTATCGTGCTACTCTTGAAGGGGATTTACAAGTGGGTTATAAAATATATAAGGAACTGCCAAAATAAATATACTGTGGCTTGTTGTGGTTGTGAAAAGAGGAATGTGCCAAGCTCATTGTTTTTTGGATTTCCTCCCTTCCAGGCAATTCCAGGCAGCCCTCTCAGATTTGCGGGAAGCCATAAAGTTGTGCCCTGGAAACCAAGAAATTAAGAGACTGCTAGCTCGAGTTGAAGAGGAGTGCAAACAGCTCCAGAGAACGCAGCAACAAAAGCAGCAATGTTTTCAGGCGATGCAGCCGAGCAATGACTCTGACTATGAGGGTGAAGTACTTGTGCAGGATCACTTCAGCCTGGAAGAGATAAAAGAGGAGGAATTTTTATGTGAACAGGAACCTGGTCCAGCTAGGCCAAGATTGCCACTTTCCCAGGCTTCTTTATCTTGTAGCAGAAACCCTCAGGAAGGTACCCAGCAGAAATTTAGGCCTGTATCTCCTCCAAATAGAGCCAGCGGTGCATACATGCGAGAGCCTGGCTTGTCTGTGCAGCCCACGAAACAAGCTCAGATAGTAAAAACCAATCAGCATCTGAATTCTGCCCAGGCTGGAGCAAGACCTAGTTCTAGTCAGACTGGCACAAAGATTCAGCACCTCCAGTATCTTCCTCCAAGCCCTGTGACTTCCAGACACCATATGACACCAAACAATAAAGCACAGCATTTAGATGGGGCGCACACAGTGTCAGCAAGCAGTAGCTGTGCACTTTTCAATGAAAGATTAGCAGCTGGCCAGGTTCCCTACTTGCAGCATTGTGACAAAGGATCTTCTTTCATGAGTAAGTCCAAAACACATGAAAAGCTAGCTGTGCATCCTCCTCCATCATTAAGTCAAGGAACTGGTGAATTAAGGCAGCAAAGTAGTGCCAGTTTACTGTCTGTCAACTTGGCACCTTCCAGCTCAACAAGCAGTTTGTCATCTAGCAGCAGCTTTTCTGAGTCCATGGCAGGACAAAATCTCGACACTCGACTCAAGGAGAACAAAGCTGGGCTTGGTCAGAGTGGACCAGCCGAACACCGGTCCCGCAGTATTCCGTTCATGGGGATCATGGATAAAACTGTACGCTTCCAACAGCAGCAGATGAACCCCTTAAATCGCAGTTGGCACAGCCAAGCTACAGAAGGGGTCCTGAAGAGTTCTGGGACAACTTTATCTGCAAGCTGTGAGTTTTCTTCCAAAACAGCAGCAAGCAACTCTGCAAATCAGGGTTCATCTTTCTCTCCCTCTTCCCTAATAGGAGACAATCTTCAAAATGGAACTCAATCTAAAGAACTGGAGGAACTAAAGCACCAAGCATCTGCCAGCTCTCAAGATAACAGGATAGGTAAGCCAGTGGCTCATTTATATCAGGAAGCTCTCTCCAAACAGCATTCTCAGCTAAGCAAAGACATTCATTCAAGTCACATCACTTCTACAAAACCAAAGCGATCTTTTGTAGAATCTAACGTATGATTCTGTTGCAAATTAATAACAGGGATGAATCGTGGCTTTTGGTTGTAAAATGTATGGCAATAGTGGCATATAGGTTACTGCTATTAATCATATTTTAGGAAGTGTATCACAAAAATGTGATCTTATAGCTGCAATATGAACATTAACCCAGCTATCCTTATTGTTTTTTGAAATATGTTCTTAAGGTCTTTGTTAACACAGTTGAAACGTTCCATCATTTATGCCAAACCTTGCAAGTCTGGATTTACGCAGCCTGCGGCAGTTATAGCAAACTAATTTTTCTTTTTAAAAAATTCTTTTTAAAATCTGCAGTCCTGAAGCTGCAGTGGTATATACAGTCACTGGGGACTAAGTCTCAATGAACATAAGTATAATTTACTTCTCAGACTATAGGATTGTGTTGTAAAACTCACTTTGTTTGGTCATGTATATTGTTTATTGTTTAAAGTTTATTAATTGGTTCCAGAGGATGGAACCCAGAGAACCTTTACTTTTGTCAATGAGTATTTTCTTAGAAGGAAGATTGACTGTTATTCTCCCACTTTTATAAACCTGGCAAATATAACTTATATCATCTCTACAAATATTTCAGCAGTGATATTTTATTCCATGCAATTAAGGCTGTCTATCATTATTGCAAGGCAAGAAGTAAAATTTTGCATGCATTTTATTCAACATCTTTGTTATTGCACTGAGTCATATGACAAGTTAACAACATACAATCAGCACTTTACATAGTTTATCTAAACATCTTTTGAGGTGTTATATCAAAAAAAACAAAGAGAAATACAAGTCATAGAGTATTTTTATAGAACATCTAATATCTATCTGAGGGAGAAGCTTACATAAAGGCCATTGATACTTTCCTCAACATGCAGTAGGAAATTTCTATTTAAATTACAAATTGTTCTTGAAGAGGCACATTTGTAAGGATGTTCCTGTAAGTAATAAAGGCTGGTTGTATAAGCTGGAAAATTCTGTAGCCCCTTTAACAAATTATTTCCATATGTACAGAATATATGTTACGTTACAACAACTTCACACATTTTTTTTAAAAAAAGCATTAAAAAGTCTGTTTTGGAATGACTTAATCTATTCTGTAGCTTATTTATTGTTTATCTTGGTATTTGTACAATCTTATTCTCTTGTTCTGTAGATCTATTTTTTGCACAGCTACTGTATTTTTCTCTTATTAAATAAAAGATTATTAATATAGTTTATGGTTCAGTAGTGTAGTTTTACAGTACAATGTTGAGAGGTCATCACTAATGCAAGCTTAATTAGGATCCATTCCCAATGTACAATATATGAACAACCTGCATGGATTACTTCCATCTTCCAAAAGTTGTTGGAACCCAGGTGAGTATTTAATATTTGTAGATCAACTCAACAGCTGGTTTCCAATGAGTTGATATCTAGTCCATGCCAAAACTTTAGTTGAATTGTCAACTTTCTATCTAGGCTGCACATCTGGCAAGGCACTGAAATAGGAGTGTACTGAAATTGTACAAAGTTATAATTGATTGTGAGATGCCCTTTTAATTAAACTATGCATACATAGTCTGGGAAATTTTTCACTTCATTCTTGATCATAGTCCTCTGAAGACTGTAACAGCTAATAAAAGGAACATGGTTTCAGGGCTGGTAGTAAGCAGTAGTAATTCTGCCATTAACACATACCAGGTCATGCAAAATCTAACAGCACAGGGTCATGCAAACTTGGAACTGGAAAACTAATGTCAGGTTCTTGCTCCTTGTGCTAGCTTTTTCTGAGCTCAACAAAACATGACACCAGACCCATCTAACAAAGATATTTGGAAGAAGGCTGGGCAAGACAGGCAAGTCTTTTGATCCCAAAGATCAAGCACCTGATGCTCTCTGTCAGGGCCTCGGTGTTCCTACATTCTTTGGAATAAACAGGAACGTAAATATGTACATTCAGAGATCCAGGACAGGGACAGAAAAACGTATCTCTCTAGCCTCAATTCTCTACTTCTGGTCTACTATGGGCTGGGCCCAAGAGTTTCTGGGACGCTATAATATCCAAATCAAGCTAGGAAAAGTCACATAATTACTTTGCTGATTACTAAATAACTTATTACAGAGCACAATATTACAAGCTATATACTGTCTTGAAATTAATAAAACTTATTTTCTATCCTATGCATACTTAATCAAAACCAAGTCCTACATCAATGGAATCCATTTTAATATAAATATCACCGCAGCCAGGACTTCATTCAGTAACAGACACTTAAATCATTTGTAACACCCAATAGCTGACATTTGTCAAGGATCAAAGTACTTGAGCTAATGTTATCAATTACCCTGTAGTTAAAAAAAAGTGTACTATATCAACAGGAAGCAGCTCACCATTGAAATGTTTTACATACCTTTAGATTCATTGCCTCTAATTTTGAAAAAAAGATGACAGTCTTTAAGGTGCTTGCTTTTCATTATATTTTGGCTGAGTTTCCAACCAGCGATTAATAGCCATTTTTAGGGTTCGGTTTGGGGTAAGTACAAGTCTCTGAAGAGGGAGATTTGTCATTGGACTAGAACGCCGTTTTTTAATAATCCAATTTTCCATCGCTTCTTTCTCATAGGAGTAGCCATCTAAAGAAAGAAACAAGCATTCCTGAAAACAGTTGTGCTCTATAAATCATACCTTAAAGCAAGCTACCTAGTCTATTCAGATAGGAAATGGACCAACTTTGTATCGATAGACACAAATGTACATATATTACCTAGAAGAAATCAGTATGAACTTTGTAACTGCATTCTTTAACTCAATAAGAATCTACTAATGTACAGATGTAAAATATTAATACAATGTAGAAAATTTCATTAAATACATTTTAATGTTACACAAAATCATTCAGCACCATTGCTTCAAGTGACAAAGTGTCATGTCTTTTACATCTTTTACAGCCACACTGAAAGCTCCTGCTGCTTTGGCAGCAATTCAAATTGGAAGTGCTGTCTGACTAGTCATTCATATTCAGACGCTGTGAGGCGGCTCCTGAAGCAGCCATGCAGAGCTTTTGAAAGGCCCCAGCATGGCAAACTGATCCAAATAGCTTTGTGCTGCCATAATACATACATCTATACCAAGCTGGGATCAGGTATGCTGGCTCAATATGTGGAGGGCCACTATTGCAGAGGACTCTGCTATGTGAGAAGGCCTTTCTTGGCAATTTAAATGCCTGTTTTGCAGGATCTGGACTGTACAAGGATTATCTTCACATACTGAAATTTTCCTCACCTGCAGTATGTAAACAGGGAAAGCATGTCTTTTCCCAGCTCCCTCAAAACTAAGTCCTGTGTATTATACTTACAGATAAGTGTCTCATTAAAGGCTACAATTTTTATGTACTAGAAGGACATTTTTATAATTATAGGCAAAGCCTTTGCCCCAAAATTTTAAAAAATGCAGTTTTGACAAAAATTGAGAGGCAGCAATCATTTGAATATATGCACACCACTTCAACAAGCTAGACAGAAATAAACTGAGTCTCTCTTTCTCTCAGTCTGTGTGTGTGTGTGTGTGTGTGTGTGAGAGAGAGAGAGAGAGAGAGAAAGTAATATGAATTTATAGTATATAAATAAGTAGTGTAGTACTTATATATAGCAATATCTATCTCACTGTTTTAAGATAGTGCAAGAATTAAAATACTGTATTCCAATCAAATATATCTGAACCTCATACCATATAGTCGTTCATCAGACAATATGAATATTTTCTCATCTGGAAATCTGATTTCCATGAAATTAAAATGATGGAATAAACAAGTGTCACTAAACATTTTGTACTGATGGATAAACACATCTCACTCTCTCCTAGTTTGCTATAAGTGAGCTAGAATTCTCAGTATGCGGAGTCTGTTACTTTAATGCTGAGTTCAAAATTAATTTCCAAAAACTCATCACAAAGCTGTCAAAGGAATAATCAAAACTGCTACAGAAAGTCCCTTGTGTCTTAAGCTTTTCATGTATAAAACAGAAGCACAAAATTGTGACGTGATTAGGAGATAAATGCATTTACCAGGTGATATTCAGTTGTGCTAAGAAAAAGAAATAATGTATAAATGTACTGCCAATTTTTGTAGAGTATGTTGCCTACTTATTTAAGTCACATAGACTTTCCAAAGAATTTAGAAATTTGTAATCTACTTTCCCTCACTTTCCTTTTGAAATAAGAATGAAATAATTTAGCGCATGCTGCATTCAGATATAGCTTTCCTTAATGCAGGCATCAAGAACATGGGCTTTCAAATGTGGGGGTCTTCGTTTCCATTGTACTTAGCTACAATAGTTATTTTTCAGGAAGATTTTTTTTTGGTATAACTTCATATGGCCACCTATCAAATAAACATGACTTTGGGCAGCTAACAAATTAAAAACAGTAAAATCAATAACCAAAATTTTAAATAGCATAAAATAGCAGCAGAAGACTTTCACTGCATCCCACAATCGATACAACCAGGAACTGGGCTCATCCTGTATTATCAGGACTCCTCCTAGCTTGATGGCAAAACCAGATCATTAAGGCCCTGTGAAATGCCAGAATGTTTAAGGTGAGTGATCTCTGGGAGATGGTATTCCAGAGAGTGGGCACCATAACAGTCTTTTTAATCCTGCCAAACGGCACACCCTTGCAGACAGGACCTGGAGCATACCTCACCTGCTGGATCTAATAGGATGGGAAGATACCAATATGGAGGTTCACAGCTTCCTAATTCCTACTTCAGTAGAAATAACTTCCCAACCCATTTTGGGTTTGTTATTCCTCCAAAACTAATTGAAAGAGCTCTGGTGGCTCAGCAGACTAATTAACATCCACTTACATCTGCTGCCTGCAATTACTGCAAGTTCAAATCTCACCAGGCTCAAGGTTGACTCGGCCTCCCATCCTTTCTAAGGTAGGTAAAATGAGGACCCAGATTATGGGGGCAATAAACTGACTTTGTATAAATATACAAAGTACGAAGGCTATTGCTTAATGCATTGTAAGCCGCCCTGAGTCTCCGGAGAAGGGCGGCATATAAATCAAATTTAAAAAAAAAAAATTACAGAAGTTCATAGGGCCTTTGAGAATAAAGCTTGGCATGGTATCAAAGGCTGCAGTGGGTAAAATAAAATAGCTTAAAAAAGCAATGCTTAACTTGTAAAACTGAGAATTCATTAATCATTCTAAAATTTCTAAAATTAAATCCTTAACTTATTCAAATATCCTGAGGAATTATGAAGCATCTTGTTTTGATATCAAGGTCTGATAGAAATGATTTTTTTTTAAAACAACAGTAGTAAGTGAGATGGCTTATGGTGCTGGAGAGGCAGGGCAGGCCCATTGAGTAGGTGCAGGGCAACAAGAGGAAGAGAACTATGGGAGAAACAAAGTCTTAGCTCCTTTAACAGTTCAGTGTATTTGTCTGGGCCAAAAAGTGAATCAATTTCAATGATCTGGATTTTGCTTTGTCCAGATCATCAACCCCCCTAGGATGGTCTGGTTGAATGTCTAAGGCTTCATTCTGTCAACAAAGCAAAAATTAATTCCACTCTATGTATACTGTTACTGACAATCAAAATGTGTATTTATGGGAGGCAATCCAAGTTAATTTCAAACCTGATGCATTTTTCCAGTTATATGCGTTACAATGTGTAAATGGCATGCAAGTAGTCAGCAGGCAAGTCCAGGACAGCAGATCGTCTTGTGCTTTTCCACCTGATGTTGTCAGCAAGAGAGGACAGGGATTTGTTGAACCTCTGACTTTGGGCAGAGTAAAATTCCAAGTAGAAATTAGGATAATTGAAAATCCCCATTATCATTTTGGCAAGTAGATTGGTTATCTGATATAACCCCTCACAATAGCATCACTTTTGTTCTTTTCTCGATTTGTTCCCATATGCATAAAGAAGGCATGGCCAGTGACCAGAATGAATGCATGAGCCACAGGAATGTTTCTGTGAAGTCCTAAATATGTGCACCAAAAAGACATCACTCTTCTCACAATAACTTGCCTGGTCCACACACATCTGCTTCTGACCCTTGCAAGAACGATTCTTTCATCAACACCAACTATTCTTTTGTTTTTCAGTGAAAAGCTTTGGTTTTGTTGATCCATGCAGAGTTGAGAGTCCTTTCTATTATTTTGAAAAGCCTGGGGTAACTGAATTATCTCAGGAATTGTAGCTTGCTTTTCATGTCCACATAT